CGTGGATTTTATTATTATTAGCTTTCGTCAGTCTCAGGCGACAGGCTATTTCGGTCCATCTTCTGCTATTACTATTATTACTGCAGATTCTCCCATTATTTACCAGCTGATAAGATATCTGCTCTCTCAGTATGTATCATCTCGATGATTGCACTGCACTGCATGTATCCTCGGGATTCCCGCTCATTTTCGCCTCGGAAGTAATTACGGAAGTTAGTCGACAAGACATGGATGAATTGATTGGCACACACTGCAAAGTAACTTTGTGCACGGCCGTCATTTGATTCATTTCTTTTTTGCTTTTTCGGCTCACTTGCTATCCTCCGCAAACTCGCAAACTCGTATTCTGTCATCTGCACGCGGGTTGCATTGCATAGGTAACTACCTACTGCCCGTCTCTGCTCTGCTCTGTCTGCCATGTCTGGTTCGGCGCCACCGTGGTCCAACTCTAATATGAATCTGCCTGCCTGAGGCGGTAGCAGTACTCCGTATTTCGAAGCAATCCCCGTAAATTGTAATCGCTTGCTGCTGCTGGGGCCTCCACACACAGCCCGATTATTGTCGATTTATTGGATCCGCTCCCGCACCGGTGCAATCCTTGGGCTGCAAAGCGCCAAAGGCACAGAAAGCCCCATCGGCACTGCACAGCCTCTCAGACAGTTCAGAATCCCCCCGTAGATACTGGTCCTGTGTCGACTTTTCCCCCCTTGTGCAAAGTGGCGCCCCTTGCAAGCCTAAGGTGCACCAGCCGACAGGGCCGTCCTCTCTCGGACCTCCTGGTCTTGGTCTCTTGGCCCGGTCTTGTCATCCTCCGCGGTCTGGGCTTTGCTGCGGCTGCGTGCCAACCCTTTCCTTTCCTCCCTTGTGCTGTGTTCCCCCCCATCCCGATTCCCGGCCGGCCGTTCCTTTGTAGACAAGAACCCAAGAATTTCCCCTCCTCCTCCTCCTCCTCCTTTCATCCCTCCTCCGCGGTCCCTCCCCTCCCCTGAATCATCTTTCCTTCCTGCTGGATGGTCACCGTTCTGTCTGATCTGGTGCCACCTGTGCTGTGCGTGTTCAGGAATTGTCTTGCATAGCTGCGTCGGCCCTGGTTCTCCTCGCCGAGCCTGCAGGTGACTGTCGTTGGGAACCGTTGAGTCGTTGAGTCGTTGAGGCCTCTGTCGTTCGCTGCTGTCACAATCTGTGACTCTGATTCCGACCTGCGCGGCCGCAATCAGAAGCGGATCTTGTCGTTGCTGTGACTGTTCCCAACGTTACGCGACTTTTCCCCCTGCTTCCCCCCGGCCTTTAGCCCCTCCGCTTCCTTTTTTTTTTGTTTTCGCCTCACTTTCTTCCTTCTCTCCTTCATCCGTCTCGTCCCTCACCCAACTCCCCTTGGTTGACATCTATTCCTGCATCAAGATCTCCTTGTATCTTATCTTGGCCTTCTCCGTGCAGCTATCCGGCTGGACTGCCAAGCGGTTCCTGTGTTTTCCGCCGCAAGACCAAGAAATTGCTCTTTTCTTGGCACCCATGACGGAGCCGTCTCTCAACGCGTCTTCGGCGCCGGCGACCTCGGCCGCGCAAAGCCAGCCTCCTGCCTCCCAAGCCCCCGTATTGCAGAATAATCAGCAGTATCAAAGCCAGAGCCAGGCCTCGGAGCAGCAGCCGGCTCAGGTTACCGCGACCACTGCTGCTCAGGCGGCGGCGGCGGCGGCGGCTGCTGTTGCCGCGGTCGGGAACAATCAAAATGGGCACGGCGTGCAAAACAACCCCCCGGCCACCGAGGAGCTCGCCTGCATGTGGCAGGGATGCACTGAGCGCTTCTCGACTGCGGAAGCTCTCTATGTAAGTTTCTTTTTTTTTCTTGTTCTTTTTTTTTGGAGGTTGTTGTGCTTCCTGCCGTCTTGTCGCGTCCAGCGGCTCTCGACCAGAAGCATCCATTCTACCAGACATGGCTGCATCTGGCTGCATCTGGCTGCTGCTTCTGTGCCAAATGAGACATGTTGAGCTTGGTGACGTGAGCTTTCACCTGTGACGCTGGTCAGCGATGAGGTCTGGAGGGGGGTTGAGATTTGAGCTTGAGATTTCGAGTCACCAGTTACTAGTCAAGGTATGAGATACTGACAACAAATCCAGGAACACGTCTGCGAGCGCCATGTAGGCCGCAAGAGTACTAACAACCTCAACCTCACTTGCCAGTGGGGCACGTGTCGAACGACCACGGTCAAACGCGACCATATCACCTCGCACATCCGTGTTCACGTACCCTTGAAGCCGCATAAGTGTGACTTGTGTGGCAAAGCGTTCAAGCGTCCACAGGATTTGAAAAAGCATGTGAAAACGCACGCTGATGATTCGGTGCTGATGCGTTCCCCGGAGCCGGGTGCGAGGTCACACGATGTGCAGTTTGGCGGTATGGTGAATAATACCAAGGGTGAGTTCGAGTCACGCCAGTGATTTCTTTCGCTTTGTTTCTCGTCTCTTCTGACTGATCGGTCTCCAGGTTTTTCCACTGGAACGCACTACTTTGAGCCGCTCAACCCCGTCCACGCTGGACAGGGTTATCACCAGGGCCCGCCGCAATACTACCAGGGTGGCCAGCATCAACAGCCTCCTAATCCGTCGTACGGAAACGTGTTCTACACTCTAAACCAGGGTGAGAACCAATCGTCCTACGAGTCTCGTAAACGGACGTATGAAGCAGTCAATGAGTTTTTCGGTGATACCAAGCGTCGCCAATTTGATCCGACGTCGTATGCTGCCATTGGACAGCGGCTGGCTGGTCTTCAGGGCCTCCAGCTTCCTCTGAGTGGAGGTCCTTCACCAGATTTAGGTCTACAGGGTGCTGTCGGCGTGAGTTCGGCGGGTGGCTATGGTCCTACAGCGTTGGCAGCGCCGGCATACCACTTGCCGCCAATGTCCAACGCGCGGACAAAGTCAGATTTGATCGAGTTAGATCGGATGCTCGATACTATCCACACGACAGTATACGAGAACGACGATCATCTGGCGGCTGCTGGCGTCGCCCAGCCTGGCGCTACCTACATCCCTCAGAGAGTCGCATATGGTGCGACCCAGTCGCCTCCAGTCCAGCTGCCGTCCAGCCATGCCACTGCAACGACGTCCGCCACGAATGCTACTAGCGCAGCTACTATGGCGCCCACTACAGCCCATTCGCCCGCGAGTGCCACGCCAGCTCTCACGCCGCCCTCGAGCGCTCAGTCGTACACATCCGGAAGATCTCCAGCCTCCTTCTCCCACAGAACAACTCCCCCTCATCATGAAGCCGCGACTCCCGTGTATCCACGCCTGCCATCGACCACGATGTCAGAAGGGATCTCTAATGGCTACTCCACTACGTCCGGAGCCGCGCCTCCCTCCACTCTCAGCAGTAGTTTCGACTATGACGACCAACGTCGCCGCTACGCTGGTGGTAACCTCACCCGCTCGCGGGCGGAGGAGTACTCTCGTCTCCAGATGGACCATGTTTCGGGTGAAGAATCGCAGACGAAGGAACACGGGGAGCACGGCCAGTCGGAGGCCATCTCCAGTAGTCTCATTGATCCTGCACTCCATCGCAGTAATTCACCCGATCCAGAAGTGGCCCAACGCACCGCTCAAGCCGCCACGGAGGCCGCCAAGCGTGCTGAAGAGCAGTGGCTTGAGAACGTGCGCATTCTGGAACAGCTTCGTGCTTACATTAAAGATCGTCTCGCCCGTGGCGACTACGAGGAGGATGACGAACCGCAGCAGCAGTCGACGGAACGGCCCGGATCGGCGTCCACCCCTGCTGAACGTCGCATGAGCACTGAGGCTGCGGGCGATGATCGTCGAGAGGCCACTCCGACTGCCGCGAAGCCGGACGAGCCACAGACTGGCAAGGTCGAAGCTGGCAAGGCGGAGGAGTCTGCTGGTCTGTACCCGACGCTGAAGGGGGTGGAAGACGAGGCGAAGAATGAGTGATCGTCCTGACGAGTCGGGTTGTCTTTGCTGACTGACGAGTCTTGCGGCTATCTTTCTCTACTGAGTTGAATTGACTTGAATGACACTTGGGGTTGATCGTTCAGTGAGCCTGACGGACGGAGATGGACTTCTGTTCTTTTCCTCTCATTTCTCATTTTTCTACTACTACCTTGACTGGTTCACTGGATTTTTCCATTGCGATCAGTCAGTGAAATGAAACTTGTTCTTTAATGGAGTTTATGGCGATGGTTCGTTCAATTCGAAGGATTGAAGGGTTGTTTGAAGGGTTGTTTCCGGGATTTTACGACCATTCGGAGAGCATGCAGGAAATCAATGATCTGGGTGGTTATTATGGGAAGGCTTTTTCTTGTTTTGTCTTGACTTTGTTTTCTTGTCTCCTGTGGATTTTTTTTTCCTTTTCAATTCCTTGCAGGGGCGGTAGTTGATCTCGATCAATTGATCAATTGATCATGTCATCCTGACATTGTCTGTCTATGTGTCCCTCCATCCGGTTCAGTCTAGGACAGGACTTGACTTGACTAGACGGGACAGGACAATGAGACATGACTCGTTGATTGTTGATGTTGATCTCGGTTGATCTTGATCGGTCTTTTTTCATTTCTTTCACTCTCTTTTTCCCCTTGTACGAGTATTGGAGGAAAAATTCTAAAAAGGATGAAAAGCACAAAAACAAAAAAAGGGAAAAGAGAGAATACCCCCCAGTCAATCAGTCAGTCAATCAGTCAGTCAATCACTCAGTCAATCGATGAGTTAACATAACGGAATGAAGTCTCTTCTTCTTTTCGATCAAATACTCAGTAGTAAGTACTTCAGTGTGAGATTGTATTGTATGGACAGTACACACAGTATACACAGCACACAGTAATCCGTACATACTGTCCTGGACAAAATTTAATAATATCGCACAGCTACGGAGTATGTTTAGGGAGTAATTAATTACGTTATCTACTATCTATCTATCTACTATCTTCTATCGATAAGCTATCTATCTCTCTATCTATTCATTCTATCACGGAGGAATCCGTCCTCCGTATTCCGTCCTCCGTATTCCGTACATTCCAGACTTATATTTTTTTTTCATTCACCGCCTTCGGTTCACTAACCGGTGGGGGTAGCCGATCATGGAGCATGGATCGGGGGAGAAGGGATCTAGAATCGGATTGACTTCAATTGATGGAGTACAGACAGAGTACACTATGTATGTACGTACACACATACAGGTGTATATATTCAGATTTGGACAGAAGTATAGATCAGAATGATTAAATGTATTTATTTATTTGGAAAGGACCGTAATTAGTAGTATTAATGTTACTGTCATACGGAGTAGGCTAGTGCATACACGCGACCACCGATCGAGCCCCAATCCGATCGATCGGGCGCATTCCTCGAGTCAGCCGCAGTCGATCCGGTCAGTGAATGCAGCTCTGTTTGCGGCAGTGAGTCTGGCAGTGAGTCTAGGCACTGAGGACCGCAGAGTATGATGGAAGACTCTGACTGCCGCCTGCGGAACTCGTACAGTACGAGGCACTCGTCGATGCTCTCCGGAATTGTGGATGCAGATGCGTCCCCAACAACGCCAGTCTGCACGCAGTCTGCTGCTTATTTACCCATTCTTCCCTTTGTTTTATTTACGCCTTTGGTTCTCTTTTCTCCTCTGTCTCCTCTTCTCTGGCGTCTTTCTTCTACGGTGGCGAGGGCTGCCAGGATTGGTCCGCCAATTGCAGACGGCGTCGGCTCCGATTTTTGTCTGGTTCCACGCCGAACTTTTACCTACCTTGCCTCGTCGACGCAGTGGATGAGTAAGGCCGTCATCAGCGGTGGAGATTGCCTGGCCTGGTTTTTGCGTGTGAAGAAAAGCAGCTGGTGGAGCGAGAGAAGGCGCCCGGCTGAGGCTAAGAAGGCGCCTAGACTGGCAGTCCTGCACGTCAATCAATCCATCAATCCACGCCCGCCCGCAACGCAACGCTACGCTCTCAACGCTCTCGACAACAACAACAACACTTGACACTTGCTGTCCACCACCCCATCTATACCCTCGCTATCCCGGCCGGAACCCGCTGAGACACGCTTTCGATCGGCGATCCGCCGCATTCCTCACGTCCCCGTGCCTGCCTGTGTCCCGCGAGCCCGCCGTCAACATGCCCGTGTCGAGCAGGCGTCGCACGCGCCGCAGGGACATCCAGCTGCACGACTCGTCCGACGCGGAGGGCCCGGATTCCTCGCCCAGCCGCCCGTCCACCAAGAGGCGCAAGGTGAGTCTGTCGCTGGCGTGTCTTCTCGCAAGCTGGACGCGTGAAACAGCGTGAAATATTATGGATGGCGTGCTGACTCCTGCTGCCACGACCAGGTCGAGTCTCGTCCCTCCCCGCCCCCTCGACAGGTCAAGACCCCCGAGCCGCCCTCTGACGACGACCCCGACGACTCCTCCCCCGATAACGAGCTGTCGGCCAACCAGGACCTGGTCGACTCGGTCATCGCGTCGCTGAAGGTGTCGCCCGAGGAGGTCAACGTGCTGCGCGACCACTCCAACGCAAAGTCCGAGAACAAGAGGAGCGTCCGCGCGTACGCCAAAATTGCCGGCCGAGACTGGACCTACTACGTCAAGACGCTGCATGTCAACATCGGCCGGCCCCCCGATCGCGACCAGAAGCTCGACGAGCAGTCGAGTCCCGTCACCATCGCCGCCCGCGCGCTGCCCGAGATCCACGTCGACCTGGGCCCCAGCAAGTTCGTCTCGAGGCTGCATGCCGAGATCTTCTTTGACGGTGAGGGGTCTGGCTCGTGGCGCCTGCGCGTCAACGGCCGCAATGGCGTCCGCGTGAACAATGTCATGCTGAAGCGCGGATCCGACGCCGTGCTCAACTGCGGCGACATCATCGAGATCGCCAACACCCAGATGATGTTCGTCACCCCGGGCGACAAGGCCACCATCCATCCCAGCTTCATCGAACGCGCCCAGCGACTCGCCGCCGGTGAGGAGCTGTCGTGGGACGGCTCCCAACACGCCCATCCCTCGCACAACTCCCAGTCCGGTCAGAACCAGAACGGCAACGGCCATGCTGCCACTACCACCACTACTGCCTCCAGCAGCGGGAAGCCGTCTTTGGCGCCCGCTCCGCAGTTCCTCAAACAACGCCAGGTCACGCCGCCTCCACGGTCCCCCGACACGAACTCGGGCGGCGCGTCGACGAAGCAGTCGCCGTTGTATAACCGCGGCATGATGATGGAGAGTACGGAGGAGATTGACTACAGCAAGGATTCGGCCAAGGATCTGAAGCCACCGTACAGCTACGCGACGATGATCGCGCAGGCCATCTTCTCGAGCGAGGAGGAGAAGCTCACACTGAATAGCATCTACCAGTTCATCATGGACAAATACGCATTCTACCGCCATTCGAACAGCGGCTGGCAGGTGTGTTCCCCCCCTTCTTCTTCTTCTTCTTCTTCTCCTTCTTCTTCTTTTTCGGAGGGTATTTACTAATTGGTTAGAACTCTATCCGACATAATCTGTCTCTGAACAAAGCGTTCCAAAAAGTGCCCCGTCGGACGGACGAGCCCGGCAAAGGAATGAAGTGGCAGATTGCTCCCGAGCACCGACAGGAGTACTGGAAGAAGCACCTTCGCAAAACCAACCAGTCGTCGGCGCCGTCGTCGCCTGCAACTAAAGACGGCGGGAAGTCATCGTCTCGCGCCAACGGACAGAATACTTCTAACAATTCTAGCAATTCGACTAATTCCACTAACAATCACTCTAATAATCACTATGAAAGCGTCTTCTCCGCGTCATCCAGCGCGGCCAAGACGTCTCCCCAGGGCCCGTCTCCGGCATTCAGCTCCTTCTCGGTGGCTCCGGTGGAGGCGTACACTCCAGAGAGAGGCTCGCGAGCCAGCCAGGCAGGCCAGGATCTGCCGCGCAATAACAATACCGACTACGACTCGCCGCTTCCCAGTCGTTCGCAAAACAATAACAACAATTCGACGGGCCGGGCGTACGGCCTGTCGGACAACGCCGCGGGCTCGCCGCCGGTGCTGTCGTCGTCGTACTACGACGAAGGACAGTCGTCGATGATCACGCCGGCGCCGCAGCGGCAGCAGCCGCGTCTGCCGCCGCCGAGCACGGCGCAGATCCCGTCCAAGTTCATGCCGATGAGCTCGCCGGCACAGTTCTGGAAATTCGCCGACATTGGCAGCACGCCGGCGCGTCCGGTCCCGGACATGAGTCCGCTGAAGGGGAGCGTCGGGGGAGACGGCGACAGCCTGATGCCGAGCAGCAGTCCGCCGCCGCCGAACCTGGGCAGTCCGAGCAAACCGGGAACGACGAGTGGGCGGACGCTGGGGCCGCTCAAGCGGGAGGACGACGACAGTCGAGAGACGAATGGGTCGAACAAGGCTTTGGATGATGATGATGACGAGGAGGGATTCGATCTGGCGAGGTAGGACCAACCTTTAAAAAAGAAAACACTTAAATTAAGTCTGACTAACTCTACGCAGAGGCTTCCAACCGATCGGGTCGTATCAGCGACAGCTGAGCAATGCCGCGCGAGCGAATGCCGCGAGTGCCACGAGTGCTACCTAGAGTAGACTCGTCGGATGATGTATGTTGCTTTGATGAATTCATTGACTGACTGCATTGGAGGAGTAAATGTAACTACTAACTGGAGTTTCGGTGGCTGTCTGAATGGTAGTTTTTGGGTTTGTTTTGCTTGCTTGACTTGTTGTGTTTGATTTGATTTGATTTGCTTTGCTTTCAGGTCGTTGTTATTGCTGGTTTGCTGGTGTCTGGCTTACTTATCATATCATATCGACCGTATCATGGTATATCATGTCATATCGTCATTATCATCATCATTATTATATTATCGACTCGATTGAGTGATCGAATCTGATCTTGAACTGAGCTGAGCTGAGTTGAATGAGCTGATCTTGCTCGGTACTGGCGAACTGGCTAACTGGCTGAACGGCGTTTTTGCTTTTCCCCCCCCCTTTTCTTCCTTTTTTTCTTTTCTTCCTTTTTCGTTCTTTTTTTTAGCTCTTCTCGAGGGCTGTATGTATGTGTGTCTGTGTCTGTGTATGGATATGGAAGTATGTTTGTATTATACGAATGAGCAGAAAAAAGAAAGCAAAAAAGCATGCATGCATGCATGGATTGATTCTTTCTTTCTTTCCTTTTTTTTCTTTTTTTTTATCATGTAACTGTGACTACAACTATAACTGTGTAGATACATATACAAAAAAGAAAAAAGAAAAGGGTGTCTTTCTTTCTTTCAAATCTTGCAATTTTTTTTTGGCTTTGGAGGGAGGGAGGGAAGGAAATGAAGGAAATGAAGGAAGGGAAGGGAAGGGCAAGGGAGGGTTAAGGAATCCAGGTACATACGTACGATATATATTATAATATATTTTATATATATATAACCCATCATCCTTATCATCCTTTTTTTTCATCTTCTTTGTGGTTTAATTTTTTTTTTCTCTTTTCCCTCTTCTTCTTTTGTTTTTTTTCTTTCTGCATTGCTTGTTGTTTTATTTTTATTTTTATTTTTATTTGCATTTGCTCTGGCAAGATTCATTACTTATCCCATCCATCCATCTATCTATTCATTTATTCATTTATTCGAATATCTGGGCCAGACAAACAAGTAATCTTAGTAGAACAAGCAAAAAAAATAAGCAATAGAAAAATATATATGCGGCATGGCCGAGATCGAAATCATCCCAACAGAAGAATATCCATCCAGCATTTTTTCTTACCTCTTGATGGTTTTTCTTTTCTTTTTTTTTTCTTTTTTTGAGTTCCGTCAGTCAGTTAGTTAATCAGTCAGTCAGTCAGTCAGGCCATACTGCCAACAACAGGCAGGTATATGGTTTATACATTACAGTACATACATGTTGATTATGATTGATTTATTTACGAAATAGCTAATTAGCAAGCAAGCAAGTAGGGTTGGAATTAATATAATATAATTTAATTGATTTACTTTAATTCAGTGGTTGCGAACTGAACTTGCTGTCTATCTGTCTATAGCATAACAAGCATTCGATTCGACCAGACGGTCTGGTATTGTTTTTATTGTATTGTATTGTATTAGTAGAGTTGGAAAAAAAAATTTTTTTATTATTATGTTATAATATCTATACGTATTACAGTTGGTTGTATTTATAGACTTGGCTATTCATTCATTCATTTTATCATTCATTCATTCCGATAGTGATAGTAGTGTTGTTATTTTTTGTGCCTGCCAATAATCTATTATCGTCCATATTCAGATTCAGCATGTTATCTATCTAGATCAGCCAGATCAGCTAGATCAGCGGCCATAATTGCTGGATTCCAGTCCATGAAGCTGGAACTGTCTGGTAGTGGCAGTGCTTGCAAGAAGTCTGTTGTTGGTGGAATTGGAATTGTTCACCCGACAGGATACGAGCTGCTGTTATTGTTATTGTTACTCAGTGGCTGCTGTGCGTGATTAGGCCCTGTATTTTCATTTTGATTGTCCGAAGACAGTTGATGATTTACGAGATCGATCTTCCTCAACAACGTCCACACCTTGCTGTCATTATCATTATCATTATTATCATCAATATTACTGGCACGAACATCGCGCATGCCCTGGAGGGCTTTCCGCCCTCTTTCCACGAGCGCAGGTCCCAGCTCTTTCCGCGAAGACGGATCGCTGAGCTGGAGCAGGATGTACGATGCAGCGCGGAATCCGGAATAGGAATCCAGGTGCCAGCGGAACGGTTCGTAGTCTTCCTCTTGGGCGGCTTTGATGTATGTTTCTAGAAGTTTAGGGATTGGATGAATATTCTTTTTTTTCCCCGTCAGTACAGAGTAGTCTAGTGCTAGATCGTGGTAAGGAAGACTGCTTACAGTTCATCTCCGGAGTCATGCATAATGAACGGTGCTGGCGCTGGAATCGATGGAAGAACATGATCCAGAATTTCCACTTGATGTTATTCGCCAGGCCCAATAATACGCCCCTGTGTAAGGGAATGCTGGGGTTGCAATGGCGTAGGTACAGCATTTGAATCTTCTCCAGCGTTGTGTCGATCAGTAGCCGCATTTCTTTCTTCCTGTTTGTCTCGGCGAGGGCGTGCTCCTGAGGGGTAGGGCTCTGCTGGTAGACCTTGTGGATTAATTGCCGCACCAGCTGCATCGTCATATCCGTGAATTTCTCCGGATCGTAGTTGTGCGGCAGCGGCTTCTGCCCGGCACCAGGTCCTCTCCTCATCGTCCACCTTCGAACGAACAAGTTGTTGGTAATGAATGAGTGGCTGCAGTCCAGGTGAACAATCCGGTGCACAATCGCCGCCGAACCTCGACTTGAATCGCGTCCATGGGAAGAGAGTCGGCTCTCGATGCAAGCCCAGAGACTGCGCAATCCGGACTGCCAGTCCAACCAGAGTCCATACCGTTGGGCATTCTCCTCCGACATAGACAGCTCTGCAGCCAGATTAACTGGGTCAGCAGTATAGGAAGAAGACATCACGCATGAGCAGAAGAACAAAGGCTTAAGCTGAACCGATTCGGGATAGAAGTTGAATTGGGTCAAGGTCTCCACAGTCGCTGCAGATGCATGATTTCTGCTCCAGGTTTTCTCATATTGGTTTTCCAGCGGCCCTTTGGACGGCAATGATGGTGGCTGTCTCCCGGACGGGGAGATTGGTAGAGGCACCTGATCGGGCGGTCCATGAAATAGCAGCTATCTCATCTCGCTGCACCAGGAGAGGGATTGGTCAAGTGTACAGCCAACAAAACAGAAGAAGAACCGGACGGCATGATAGGCAGTTGGTCACGGGTCAAGTCACGGGCATGGTATAACGATATATAATAGTATAGTCTATAATTTCAGCAATTAGAGTGTACCTAGTGTAACTGAAATACGTGCACTTCTTGATGACCAGGTCAGTAAGACTTCTATTATTAGCACCGTTTTATAGTCTATACATGCAGGCAATACCTCTGACTCGATCGTTCTTGTTATCTGATTGGAAGACCTCGTGTTTATCTCATGACAGTTAGCAGTTATCTTCTCTCGATATCGACAGTACAGTACATCAGACGCAGCACACTACAACATGGCTGGTTACATGGTCATACTAACTACCTACCTAGGTACTAGAGCGATGCCCTAGAACCAACCAACCCACTGTATGTACATACATACAGTATAAGCTTGCTTACATATAAGAAAGCACTCTTCATAAGATAAAACATACTACAATCAAGCCCCCTTCCCTTATATACTCCGTAATGGGGTAGGAGCTGACTTACACCTCGTACTGTACAAGCACTAAGATAGGTAGCCAATGCCTTCAAACATGGAGGAAAACTAGAAACTCGCGTCGCCTCTTGGGAGTTATTAGGGTTGCAGAACCCAGACTAGGTAGGTAGCAGGGAAGTATGTACAGTACAAAGTACGAGTGTGAATTCACCGCGATGGAAATCAGGACGACGCTGACTACTTACCCTAGGGTTTTTCCAGCCTTACGGTACGTTTGCTTGACTAAAGGAGTTATTATTAGGTAGTTGGTTCTGGGAATAGCACAATGAATGTGGAAAGAAACTATTATTTTTGTTTTTTTTTTAACCTGAGTAGATAGGTTTCAGTCATTACTTGATTGCGCGGTTGAAGGCTGATAAATAAAATAGGATGCTGGTTAGTCAGTCAGTCAGGTTTCTATTGCTGTACAGTACTGTACAGTACATTTGCTGGAACGTGAGCAATCGTCAGGGGTGTATATCTCTCTACATTACTTTATTACTATTATATACATATGCATAAGGATGTTTACGTACCTTTCTATACCGAGAGAAACCAGTCTGAGGACATATTTTACAGTATACTAAGTGGTACTACTCAGAAATTTGATTTGAGTTTATCATCATCATGCATTGCATCTAGTATTGCGGATATTGTATACTCCCAGAGTAACAAATATGATTTCGTTCATATGGACATAGCATAGCATATCATTACATCAGACATGAAAAAGACATGGATATCTCGACACAACCTCAAAAACGCGACAAATGTCCCTTCGGGACATGTTTACTTCAACTCCCACTTCTCAGTCCCCTCCTCATGGACAATCTCCACCGGACGCCGCTCATCCAACGAGATCCGCCCCGCGTGAAGGATGGCCGTCGTGGCGATGGTGTTACGCAGCGTCGGCAGGCCTCTCCGATCAAGCTCGTCGAGCGTGACGCGGCCCTCGTTCACGGCCGTGACGGCGTCGATGAACTTTTCGAAGCTGATGTAGCCGTAGCCGGTCTGGCCGGCGAAGTTGCCTTCTTCGTCGGGGGTGTAGCGCATGTAGAACCTAAACATCAATCAGTGTGGGTCATTTGGGGAGATGAGGATATTTGGGGGATAGTGTTTGGGTGCCTACGGATTCAGCCACACGACTTGCCCCTGGTCATCGTCCGCCAGGTCGTACCCCCGTTTCGCCTGGTTGATGCGGATTTCGCCTTTGGAGCCCATGTCTTTACCGTGTTAGCCGGAGATCAAGCATACACATGTAATAGAGGTGCATGCATACAGTGAAAGTACTGATTCGAATGCACGCCCGCCTTCTGCGGCGCCGTCCAACTCGCCGTATACACACCCGTCGCGACCCTCGACGGATCCGTCTTCTTGCGCCACTCGACCAACAGCGTGATCGTGTCTTCTGTCTCGGGCACACAGCCCAGATCCACGGCCGTGCCCTTGGACGCCGACGCCGTGACCTTCACGGGCGTGTAGTCCGGCACCATGCTCTCGCAGATGTCGACGTGGTGCGAGTTGAGGTAGTACGAGATGTCGCTGTCCTTGCCCGCCCACGCGCGGAACGTCTCTAGCTGGAATTTCGGCTGGCTCATGTAGCTGTAGAAGTAGTTGAAGTCGCCCAGGGTGCGCGCCTTGGCCCGCGCGTCCGCGTACGCCGGGTCGAACCGCTTGTGGTGCTCGACGTAGACGAAGACGCCGTGCTTGCGCGCCTCCTCCAGCAGGTGCAGGTGATCCGACAGCAGCTTGGTGGCGGGCTTGGTGATCAGCACGTGGATCCTCCTCTGGATGGCGTACAGCGCGATCGGGTAGTGCGTCGTATCCGGGGTGAAGATGGTGATGGCGGAGCCGGGCTCGAGGGCGTCGATGGCCGTCTTGTATGCCTCCGGGTCAGTCTGGTCGTCAGCGGGGAAGGACTCGAACGAGACGTCGAGGCCGTTGTACACTTCGGAGATGTTCTTCTGCAGGTGCTGTCTGATGGCTGGGAATTTGTGCCCGGACACGCCCACCATGCTCAGCTTGCCGACCTTGCCTCGGCGTCGCAGGTCGAACATCGTCAGGCCGACGACGCCGACCTTTTTGTCGGAGGCGGAGGCACCACCGCCGACGAAGCCGGTGGTGTACTCTCCAGTGCCGACCTGCAGGACAGCAGGAGTTAGTGGAATTTGCCATCAGTCAAGAATGGAGTAACTCACCATAAGAACGTTAGGAGGAGCCATTTTGTAGTACTGTTCTATGACTATGTATCTAATTCTGTCGTCTCAGTCTGGCCATTAATTGCAGAAGAAAGAAAGAAAGAAAGACAAGTTGTCAAAGATTGAATTGCTAGCTAACTTGCTTGCTTGTTGCTGGACGGAAGAATTACCGCCATTCAATAGCCGACGGACAAATATCAACACGATCACGAGGAAGCAGCTGCCAAAAAAAAATCCAGAAACAATTGAAATGAATTCTTACTCAAGACAAGAACGATAAATACAAATTCTCTATCTCTTTTTTATCTATTATTGATTGTGTATTTACTATACTAAAGACTGAATGAATATGCTCATTGCTGACTGACGTAGATACATACAGCTGATCTGCCTGCCCCTCGTCGGCTTTTGAACGAAGGACAACTTTCTGTTCTGCACGTTGCTATCTATCCAATTTTTTATTTATTTATTTTTTTTCCCTACGACATACCTACCTAGCCAATAATAAAGAGCATAAATGCTAATACCTATTCGTTTACATCCAGAGCATTTCTCTCTCTCTCCCTATTTACAGCGCAGTAAGATACTTGCTTATTTTTATTTACTTCTTTTTAACTAGTTAACCCTCCATGATGACATAATAATCCTACCCCGCTATCCAGAACTGGGTTCATGGCATGCACTGTAATTTCATTGGTGGAAAATCTTTCTTCCACCAATAATCGCATTGCTAAGGGCAGATCTCTCGGAGGTCCTCCGGGTCATCGTATTCATTCCCCGCCGAGAAATACTCCGAAAGAGCAGGATATGGATGAGGGGAATAATGATATACGTTAGCTTAGCTAGATAGGATGATTGCTGGTTACTTATAAAATTAAACGCTTCTCATCAAGGGTCTTCTTCTTGTGTTGTGCTGTATGTAGATTGCTGTTTTTGAAGAATTGTTTTTTTTTAATTCGATATCCTTGTGTATCTTTCTACAATTGAGGTCTTAGCTGTACAGCTGTATATCACTTCTCACGGGTGAAGATAACAGGTACGTTCTGTTGAATTCAGCTCTGCAGTGAGTGCATCACTGACAGCTACAGTTTGATAAAATATTGCTTCGCTTCGCTTCGCTCCGCAAATCAAAATGCCGCGCACCCCCCTCCGGCCAGGAGTCTACGCTCCTACCATGACCTTCTTCCACCCGGACACCGAAGACCTCGATGTCCCGACCATCCGCAAACACGCCGTCCGGCTGGCCAAGGCCGGCCTCGTCGGCCTCGTCACCATGGGCTCCAACGGCGAGGCCGTCCATCTCACCCGCGAAGAACGCAAGACGGTGACGCGCGAGACCCGCGCCGCCCTCGACGAGGCCGGCTTCCACAACGTCCCCGTCATCGCCGGCGCCAGTGAGCAGAGCATCCGCGGCACCATCGAGCTGACCAAGGAGGCTGCCGAGGCCGGCGCCGAGTACGTCCTCATCGTCCCGCCCAGCTACTACCGCTACGCCGTCGGCAACGATGACGCGCTCTACGACTTCTTCACCAGCGTCGCCGACGAGTCCCCCGTGCCCGTCATCCTGTACAACTACCCCGGCGCCGTCGCCGGCATCGACATGGACTCCGACCTCATTATCCGCATCTCGCAGCATCCCAACATCGTCGGCACCAAGTTCACCTGCGCCAACACCGGCAAGCTGACCCGCGTCGCCCGCGCCTTGAACGCCATCACCCCTCCGTCGCCGTTCTCGGACACCCCCCAAAAAGCTCCCTCGACGTCGACCTCTTCTAAGACGGTCGAAAACCACCCGTACGTCGCCTTTGGTGGCATCGCGGATTTCACCCTCCAGACGCTGATTTCGGGCGGATCAGCCATCATTGCTGGTGGCGCCAACGTGCTGCCCAGGACCTGCGTCCAGATCTTCAACCTCTGGAGCAGTGGGCGTCTGGCAGAGGCATACGAGCTGCAGAAGGTGCTCAGCGCCGGCGACTGGGTGCTCACCAAGTCGGCCATTCCCGGTACCAAGAGTGCCATCCAGAGCTTTTACGGATATGGAGGGTATCCGCGGCGTCCGCTGCGCCGGCTGAGCGAAGCCAGCGTCAAGGAGATTGCAGATCAATTGAAGGAGGTGATGGAAGTGGAGCGTAGCTTGCCGGACTTTGCATGAGTAATATGTTCTCCAATCTGTCTTTTCGAATGGATTGCATGTGTATGAGAATGCCACTGATCCAAGTAATATCCCTGTTGTCAGTTGAAACAATGACGCAGTCGAAGGGGAACGAAAAAAGCAGGCAGACCGACTGTATGAGAGTAACAGTCGGCTTCACAGCTTATCAGTCAGTAGCGAGCTAGCCATGTCTGTAGTCTGCCGTGCAGTATCTCCATCTCTTTTCCATCTCGCCGAGACAGCAGAGGCAAGTATTCCGTAGGCTTAATTAGCCATATCGGCGTTCGTTCCGTGGAAGCATGGCCGAACATGCCATAAAATAAAAGTTCGGTGGGGTAGCGGGGAAGGCGGGCACACCGAGGGGCAAATCCGCAGAAAGATCTGTTCGCATACCTCAGGTAGTTACCTAGGTAGGTGGTTATACCTGCTGTAGTTGTATAAGCGCCGGAGCAGAGCAGTCCTAACCGCGCAGCCATCCATCGGGTCGGCATCCCTGAAACATCATTGAAGGCTTTCACGGCTTTCTTGCCCGCTCTGCACGGGCGAATTCACGGAGAAGTCCTCCCGATGATGGTCTCGACTCGGCAGACACAATTAGCAAGTCGTAGCAAGCTGCGTTGTAACTCTGAATGGCCACGGCGCTGGGAAAGCCCGTGTGATTTGACCAGCCTTCTTCCTCCTGATAGAGACAGAGCGGGTCGCGTCTTTGGCCCTTGATTAGAACCTCGTTTTTGCCCCGCTTCTCTTCCAATTGCCCTTCCCCGAGCATTCTTGGGAGTTAGGCCTCTCTGCGGGGAAGCCCTGACTCTATTAAAGCCCGTGGAGCTCCCTTGCCTCGTAGACAGAAATAAAAAGCTGTACAGAGATCCATCACCCCGATCCCTTCAAAGACCTGCAAAGCATTGAGTGGATAACCAGCTCTCTTTGAAACAACAAGCTTTCTCGAACGCCAGAAAATGCCGTACCCGGAGGAAGCCCAGGGTTTCATGGTCGATGGTCCGGAGACCTGGACCACCTTCCACAAGCGCTATGTATGTTGTCTGCTCGTTCGAAAGACTTGCGGATGGGGCCGCTAACTCAGCCCTCCTTGATGTAGTTTCCCCTGAAGCCCTTTGGCGACTACGGTGAGTCCCTGCAGCTGATGAGATTCAACACGCTTAGGCGGCGCATTGCTGACGGTCGAATCAAGATGTTGACGTGAAGGTCGAGGCGTGTGGTATTTGCGGTAGCGACATTCACACAATCAGCGGTAAGGAGTGCCGTCGCGAAGAAACGGAAATATGTGAAGCTGATGAGACCCGGTCAGGTGGTTGGGGCGAGAAGAATTTCCCTCTCTGCGTCGGTCACGGTAAGTAATTTTCAACCATGGATACGCTCCTGACTGACCTGGGTGTTCCGTGTAGAAATCGTGGGCACGGCGATCCGAGTCGGCCCCAAGGTCACCCTCGTCAAGGTGGGCCAGAGGGTTGGAATCGGGGCTCAGGTGTACTCCTGCGGTGACTGCAAGCAATGCAAGAACGACAACGAGACCTACTGCCCGGTCGCCATGATCGACACGTATGGCTCCCGGTGGCCTGACAGCGGAGTGATCAGCCAGGGCGGTTACGCGTCCCATGTGCGCGCCCACGAGTACTGGGTCTTCCCGATCCCAGACAAGCTGGACTCCAAGGTGGCCGCACCGCTGCTCTGCGCCGGCATCACAGCATACTCTCCTCTGGTCCGACACGGAGCAGGACCGGGCAAGAAAGTCGGGATCGTTGGTATGGGGGGAATTGGGCATCTGGCGATCATGTTCGCCAAGGCGCTGGGTTCGGAGACCTGGGCCATCTCACGGACGAGGGCGAAGGAGGCTGACGCGCGAAAGCTGGGAGCGGACGGCTTCATCGCGACCAGCGAGGAAGGCTGGGAGAAACCGCACCGATTCTCCTTCGATCTGATCGTCAACTGCGCCAACTCGTCCAAGAACTTTGATCTCTCCAAGTACCTGTCGATGATGGATGTGCATGGACGATGGGTCAGCGTTGGTCTGCCGGAGGAAGAAGGACAGGTGATCAAGGCGCAGAACCTGATTGCCAACGGGGTCTTGATTGGCGCCAGCCACCTGGGCAGCCGTCGGGAGATGCTCCAGATGCTGCAGCTGGCTGCGGACAAGGGGCTTGGGACGTGGATCGAGGAGGTCGAGATCAACGAAGAGAACCTCAAGGAGGCTGTGACGCGGATGAAGAAGGGCGACGTGCGCTACCGATTCACGCTGACGGGCTACGACAAGGCGTTTGGGAACTAGGCGGCGACAGATGCCGTGCCGTAAATAGATAATAGAATTTCAGAGAAAAGAATTGTTTCGTGGATCGTAGTTCAGAGGATGCTTTCCTACTCAGTGATGATTTTACAGTGGAGAGACCCGCAAGGTCCTCGATTCCCTTCAAGCACGCCATCGCAAGTGAATTGCCCCACGTCAATCGCGTGGATGTGGCATTGTCGCGAACAGACCTGCGCTATTGACTGACACTTTGGCAGTGATGGTAAATTAAACGAAAAGAATGGCAAAGGAAAGCATTTCCGTCTGGTTATACTCCGTATTGACAGGCCAGATCTCATTCTCATATTTCACTCCTTCTTTCCCCAGTTGCTCGCTGTGACACCAAGACCGGCAAGAAAGGCGATTCTGGACGCTGCCCCCAGGTAGACAAACGCAACATTGCCCCAGTCCATCTGGTTCCAGCGGTGAATCTCCCAGAAGACGCCCACGCCCAGCGGCAGCAGACTGTAGAGGTGGCCCAGGTCGGCGAGGAGGAGACCGAACAGCAGAGTGCGCCAGACGCGGAGATCATTCGTCGCCCGAAGGACCAGGGCCTCGTTGACCGCAAAGAGCAGATACAAATTGGCCAGCTGCCGCAGAGCGACGTGGGTGCCCACGGGCAGGGCAGCGGAGTCGGCCAGCGGAGCCGACAGCGTGTCGGTCAAGCGCAGATACGTCGTGGGCCAGGCACCGGCGTACAGGGCCCCCAGACAGATGAAGAAGGGCTCCACGTAGAGGAAGAAGACACGATAGAAGAGGTGAATGCGCGCGGAGATATTTTTATCGTGCTGACCTGTTGTCATGTCCACTCCGCCGGCGGGTATTGCAGCCCTAGCTAATAACTAAACGGGGCTCCGTCTGGGGCTTCCGAGCAGCGGGTCTCCCAGCAACTCTAAATGAAATATTTTTTTTTCCAGCCTGCCAGACGCAGCCCAGGATTCGACGTCCGATCGAGCTGAATTGCCTGATGATTCCGGCCCCGCCCTTGTCTCGAATCAGCAGAGAAGGCACGAAAAAAAAAAGAAGGAGGCGAATCGTGGTTGGGGCTGGCGAGAAAAGGCTGCAGAGATCGCCACCGCCCCTGGCTGCTGGAAACAGCTTAGCCTGCAGCTGTCTACTCTTGGCTCGTCCGCCGTCTGGCCTTTAATGCCTGCAGTATTATTGTCGTCCTCGCCCCCTTCGCCCCCCTCCGTCCGCTCTTTCTCCCCGCATCGCTGCTTTCTTCGTGTCTGTCCTGCATTCTTTTGGTCGTCGTTTTGTTTCTTCGCCTTCTTTTGGTTACGTCTGGGCGTTTTGGTGCTTTTGGATGTTGCTCGTTCCTAGATGGTCCGCGCGCGTTGTTCTTACTTCTAGACTCTAGTTGCCTGCTCCCTGGCAGCGCCCCTTACGTCGCATCCTTTTTGGAACCTTCAGGTTGTTTATCACTCCAGGGATTTTACTTGATCTGATCGCTGGGAGCTCCCTGCGACCCTATTTAGACGCCAATTCTCGCGCGAGCACGGGTGGCCTGACCGCTGTTTCAACGCGTTGTGCCAGCGATACCGCCCCGAATCCTCCCACACGTCCCCGATCATGGCAGTCGCAGACCCTGCTACAGCGCGCTCGGCGCGGCGACGACCCTCTCTGCCGTTGAGGGCTCGACCCAGAACCTCCGTCCCAGAGCTGACGCAGACGACGGCCCCCTGGACGATGGCTGGAGCATGGAGTTCGTACCAGACTGGCCACGACGATCGCATCACCTCGTTTGCAGAAGAACCAGCAATGGAGGCGGGAAATAGACACAATCAGGGCGAGGGTCACGACAATGGCCAGGTGTTGGAGGAGACGTCGGCCTTCCCGGAGCCCACTCCCAGACGCCGGACCTCCAGGAGTTTCTCGAATCTGCTGCACGGTGTCGATGACGGTCTCCGCGCTTTGGGTCGTCGTCTCTCCGTGAGCATTCGCAAGAAATCCTCGAGACATAATTTGCAAGACGCTCGTCCCGAGGACCGCCCTGCCAAATTCCCGTCTGTCGGCAGCTCTGGCGACGGGCGATCGCGGAACGCCTGGTTTAGGGGCCCCAGCATCAACCGTCGCCCGTCCCTCCACAGTGTATCGGCTTTGCAGACGTTCTACGCACCCACCGGGAATCACACTGGCATTGGCTTGGAGCCTCCGGTGTTTTCGGGCGATCTCTTGGGCGGTGCTGCGGCCCGCGCCGCGGCCGCTGCCCAGAATGAGATGGCCAAGGCGGAGCGTGAAGATTCCAAGATCTTCGATAAGGACTCGGAGAGTGGCATCGAGATCGATCTGCGGGACCGCGAGGAGCTCTCCGACGAGGAATTGGCTGTGGTCCGGATAGGTAATCATCCCCTGGAAGATTGGTTGCTGGTAGCGCTCTGGCTGATGAGGAAACGCAGATCCGGTGCAATACTTCCCCGCCGAAATCACGGCCCAGATCCTTTCGTGTCTCGACCCCGAGTCTCTCATGCAAGCCGAATGTGTCTCCCGTGCCTGGAAAGAAGCTGCTTCGTCGCACCACGTCTGGCGGCATGTCTTCCGCCGCGAATACGGCCGCCGTCCAAAGTGCGCGACCAAGAGGAAGACTCAGTCTGCCGGTCTGGGCAAGACCTTGCCCAACCAAGACTGGAAGAGGATGTTTTTCGTGCGTCAGGCACTGGAACGCCGATGGAAAGAGGGGAAGGCTGCTGCCATCTACCTCAAGGGCCATCGAGACAGCGTCTACTGTGTCCAATTCGATGAGTAAGTGGATGAGGTTGTCGTCCCGGCGGATCGGTCGCTAACATCTACCCCAGGCATAAAATCATCACCGGATCTCGGGACCGGACCATTCGGATCTGGGATGCTCATTACCCTTGGCGCTGTCTGAAGATTATTGGCGCGAATCCAGGCGATGTCTCTGGCGGATCGGGAGCGGGCGTGACGGCCAACATTACACCGCAGTCGTCCGGCAGCGCGCCACTGCTCGCTATCTGTCCCCCGAGTCAGCCCGCGGCCGATATCGTGGCTGGTTCGGGGCACGAGGTCGGGTTCCACAACGCATCGATCCTCTGCCTTCAGTTCGACGATGAGATCATGGTGACTGGGTCGTCGGACTTCACCTGCATCGTGTGGGATGTCAAGAACGACTATAAGCCGATTCGACGGCTTGTCGGCCACAAGGCTGGCGTCCTTGACGTTTGCTTCGATGACCGATATATCATCTCCTGTTCGAAAGACACCACCATCTGCGTTTGGGACCGGCATACCGGGGAGTTGGTGAAGAAACTCCTGGGTCACCGCGGCCCAGTGAACGCCGTTCAGCTGCGCGGAGATCTGGTCGTGTCGGCGAGCGGAGACGGGGTAGCCAAGTTATGGAACATCACTTCCGGTCTCTGCATCAAAGAGTTCCCCAGCAAAGACCGCGGCCTTGCCTGCGTGGAGTTCAGTGAGGATGCGCGGACGATCTTGGCTGGGGGCAATGACCAGGTCATTTACCAGTTCGACGCCAACACGGGCGAGCTGGTCGGCGAGCTGAAAGGCCATACGGGGCTGGTTCGGTCCCTGCACCTGGACGACGTCAACGGCCGGATCGTCAGCGGGAGTTACGACGTGAGTGTCAAAGTGTTCGATGCCAAGTCGGGCCAGCTGTCGATTGACCTCCCCCATTGGACGACGAGCTGGATGCTGAGTGCCAAGTCGGACTACCGACGCATTGTGGCCACGAGCCAAGACGCGCGTGTGGTCATTATGGATTTTGGATATGGATTGGATGGGATTGAACTGTTGGAGGAGTAACGGCAGCGAGTTGATCTCCTTTTATTTCGTTTATTTCCTTTTGGTTTTTTTTTGGTTCTTCTTTTTTTTTTTTGATTTCGGATGGCTTGGTTTGGTTTTTAGATTCCCCCTGGAACACTTCTGTCACGCTTTCGCTTTATTTTGTTTCCCTTTCGTTTCTAATCTTCTCCGTTTTACGATACGATTCATTCTACCATTTCACATACAGGCTTGGAGTATCTTGGGTTTTATTCTGGACATGATAGAGTATGCCGTCAGGCTTCATACACTGCATTGAGTGTACATTAGCTTTTTTCTTTTGCTCTTTTTTGTCTTTTTTATTTCTTTCTCTTCTGCCTCGTTAGACATATCCCGTTACAATACTGAGGTTTTTGCAACATGGATAGAATGCACTTTTTTTTTCTTTTTGCAATTGACCACTTTCCCCTGACCGCTAGATACACCTTCAGTAGTGAGGCTGATGCTCGGATCACCGTCTTTTCTCGCGGCGTCCAATTCGGGCTGGGAAAACGAACCACGGCTCTGATTGGCTGCGCGACTGGCGCTTGGTGGGCGGGACGCAACAAACAAAACTTCCCAAAGATCGCTCAAGACTCACTATTCTCCCCTCGTTCTCCCACCGATAGACAAACCATCCGGCCGTAATCGCGCTGTCATCTCATCTGTTCCTGACCATCTCCTTCTCTCTCCTCGGGTACATTTATATCTCCAGCCCAGAACCAGTCTCCTCGGTCCGTCCCGCATACCCTATACCCCGCCGCCATGAGCGAATCTAGGTGCGTGCTTCCGGCAACCATACAGTTTCCCGTATATTCTGAAAGGTTATTTCTCCTCGTGACAACTGGCTGATCCGCGGATTCGCGCCTGCAGGCAAGAGCTTTTAGCATGGCTGAACAACCTGCTTCAGCTCAACATGACCAAGGTTGAGCAGTGCGGCACTGGGTATGGTCACGCCTCTCACCTTTTCTGGTTTACGGATCGGACTACCCCCCACGTTTGCATATAACATCGGCGGGTGATCTGAGTGACCGATAAGCTTATGGCTTATCGAAGATGAATCAATCGCATTGGTCTGACTTGTGTCGCGTGTGAAATAGGGCTGCATTCTGCCAGGTGTTTGATTCGATATTCAGTAAGCGTGCCGCCCTCGGCTTTTAAGCGTATGTTTTTCGCTTGATTAGAAGCTCATATCCCCGCGACTACTCTCAGTGGATGTGCCCATGTCCCGAGTCAAGTTCAATGTCAACACCGAGTATGCATATCTACAAAACTTCAAGATCCTTCAGAGTGCGTCGCGGCCGCCCCTCTCCGTGCGCCAACATGCATTGTGTCTGACCCAGCGCCAGATGTCTTTACGAAACACGGAATAGATAAACCCATCCCTGTCGAGCAGCTCGTGAAATGCCGGATGCAGGATAACCTTGAATTCCTCCAGTGGACCAAGAAGTTCTGGGATCAGCACTACCCGGGAGGGGAATACGATGCCGTTGGCCGCCGGAAGGCCTCCGGTGCTCCTCCTGCCTCCAACGCCGCACCCCCGCGTGTCGCGACCTCTTCGACGGGGGCACGGCGTGGTGGAACGACTCCTACTACTACTGGGGCGGCGGCGCGGCCTCGAGTCGCCGCCGGGGGTGCCAGCAACGCCAACGTGGCCGCGCTGCAGCAGGAGATTGCAGCACAGAAGGAAGCCATTGCCGGGTTAGAAAAGGAGCGAGACTTCTACTTTGCCAAGCTGAGGGACATTGAACTGTTGCTGCAGAGTGCCGTGGAGGCCGATCCGGAACTGGAAAAGGATGAGGATTCGTTGGTGAAGCACATCCAGAACATCCTGTACTCGACTGAGGTAAGCCCCAGCCAGGTCGAGCCGGTCAAGCAGAGGCTAAGTCGTCCACAGGAAGGATTCGAGATTCCACCGGAAGCTGAAGCCGAAGCCGGCGCTGACGAGTTGGAGACCTTTTAAAAAACACCCCGGATTGATTTGTTCCTGGCATAGTAATATTATTCTTCTTCCCAATCAATAATACCCTACGCAAGTCATATTTACCTGTCTTTGCCCGACAAACCTCCACAAGACTTTTATTCCCTTCCATTCTTTGGCCGCTTGTGTTTTCATCGTCATCGGTGAAGAAGCGAACTAAACTAGAAGAAAAAGAACATCTCGATGAGTCTGAACACCGGGTGATGAAAAAGAAGTACAATCCTAGCATCGGTTTTGGATGTTTGTGATTCCCAGTTTTTTTTTTTCTCTTGTGTGAAGAAGAAAGTTTTCTAGAAAAAAAAAACGCGCTGAGTCTTGCGAGTCTAATTTTTTTTTCCTTTCTATTTGGTCTGCTGCCTGCTGCCTATGTATTATTCCTATCGATGATAATGCACTTGCAAGTCTTCTTCATGGGAGAAAAGAGAGAGAGAGAAAGACAGATGCTAGAGACGGTGGCGGTTGAACACGCGCCAGCCACGATGATTCATTCCCGTGGACATGGGATGACATGTGCAGGAGGGCCCGCTGGCGAGTCGAGTCAGTCGACTATGGCATGCCAAGACTTATACATACTCATACAGTCATGCTATACTAGCATTCCAAATCCACGCATGCATGTGTCCAGAAGGAGTTAAGGACTATAGATAGAAGGTGTGCGCAGTACGGAGTACAGTACAGACACCAACCTCGGTACGGTACCTAATAATCCCTCGTGGTCGACCTGCATTCCATTCTTCTGAATGTTAGAGTAGGGAGAGCCATTCTGATTCTGATCAACGATACCGCCAATGGAGAAGAATCTAGATTATTAGAGATTCATTCAGGACGCTCTCACTCACATGATGTACTACTTACTGTACGGAGTACGGACTGCTCTGTCGACTAGGCCTGACGTCAGCCGTTTCCCAACGAATCCCTAGATCCATGATCCATCGTCCTCTACTAGGCTACAGGCTACAGGCTACAGTGGCTACTAAGTAGGCCCACAGAGCACATGGCTGTAGCCTGTGGTGTGGTGCATGGATCAAGATTATTGACTGGTCGTGACCGTTGCTTCGTACACGATCAATGAAGCAGGGATGCGCGTGCCTGAATGCCTGACTGCCTGTCTGACCCTGGCAGTGGCAGACTGGCAGACAGTCTGCAATTAAACACGCTTCCGGATCTGGTGCTATTCGCTGGTCGCATGACTTCAAGTCAATTCTGCCGTATTATTTTTGTTTTTTTTTATTTTTATTTTTTTTCTTTGCTGCTCCTGCTTTGACCAATCAGAGTGCGTGCTTGGGGCTGTTCCTGACTAACCGCATGCGGTTTGGTTCTGTTCGGTTCGTCCGGCCAAATCAGAATCTTCCATTCCAATCCTAGCGCGCTTTCCGTCTCCGTCTCCCGTGATCCGTGATGCCGCTCGTCGGGTGCCATGCCAGCGCTCACAGCAGGCAGGAGTAGAGACATTGTCGTTGTCATTGTTGCAAGAGGGGTGCTGCTTCTTCTGTGCCACTATCATCATTGCTGCTGCTGTGGTTGTTTTGTTACTGTTACTGTACTGCTGCTGTTCCTGCCTGCCTCCCCCGTTTCAATAATAATCCTAATAATTGCGGCCCCACCTAGTCATCTCCCAGACGGGAACGGGGGCCGTCACCACGCCAGAGAAGTCCAGAACCTGGCCAACACCGACCGAGACAAGACACCGTCTTGTTCTTGCTATACCATACTCCTCCGTCGACAGTTGTCGTCGTCCCTTGTCTTTACTGCGCTGCTGGAGAGCTCTTGCCCTCTCCGTGGCAGAATGAGTTAGCCAATTCGCGTTGTGGTCGTCGCTCCTTTTTGTTGTGTTGTTTTTTTTCCCCTTCTTGGCTGAGCTGACCCAGGTACGTAATAACTACCTAAATCACGCCCTCCTCGTGAGGGGGGACTAGACTTGGCGTGTTCTGCAGACAAGACTGATCTCTCCAATTCCTTCAAGATCACAAGTTCTTCGAGGCCTTTTTTCGTTAATTATTCGCTTCCTTCCCTACTGCAGTCAGCCGTTGTCGACGGTTGACGTCCGCTCCTTATCCAAGACCGACCGGCCTAGTCAACAGCCGCCTCTCCGCACCGTCCGTCGCGGATTGCCATCTTTTCACGTTCTCTTTCATCCTTCCATTCTGTGGATCACATTCTTTTCGACCTGGCCCGGCTCAATTGGCCCCGACGCTCTCTCTTGGATTTTTTTTTTCTAGCGTGTGATCCCGGCAGATGCACCTTTTACCATCTAGCCCGTGGCGCTGGTCATCACCACAAGACGAACCCAGACAAACTACCTTGTCAAGTTGCATTCGATTGGAAGACGGTGACGATTCGTCCTTGACGGGGAATTCACAATTCTGACGCGTTTGCTGCGGATGCCGACAATCGTCTGGTAGTTGCCATCCACCGGCTGAAAGAGGCAGAATCGGCATTTCGGAGGCGTGAATCTGGGGTTGTGTCTCCAGGATGACACATCATCATGGACACAGGATCAAACATCCACGTTTGAGTGCGGAGTTGCGGAGGAGGTTGATAGCGGAGAAGCCCCATAACGATGCCAGCGAGCCAGATGAGTCGACAAGTTACAGTCCTCCGTCCAGCGTGGTTGATGTCGGGGATATGCATATTCTCGGGGAAAGAAGCATTGGCCATACCGGAATCAGCTACGACACCGGCGAGTCGATATTTGAGCCCCGAGATGATGTACCCGACGAGGCGCAAACCGTGACAACGGTGGTGGCTACCGTCATCAACATCGTCGTGGAAAGCGGGTCCCGCACGATAGGGGAATACACGGTTCCTACGCTTCCTGCCGTTGTTTCGGATCCTGCTCTTGGTCTGGTGACGGTCCCGGCCGATACGGGCGCTCCCATTACCGTGACGCATGAAGCATGGCCGCAAAGCACAGAGTTACCGTCATATTCATCCCTCCTGACTGGCCCGTCGACCCTGAGCACTCAGGCTTCGCTTACGCCGACCTCGCAAACTCCTGAAAGCACCCAGCCATCAACTTCGCCCCGACCCTCATCGACTTCGACCCCGTCAACCTCGTCAACCTCGTCGACATCGTCTACCTCGTCAACTTCTTCCGCTTCGTCGTCCAGCTCCACCAGCACTACTTCGTCTACTTTGACTTCGACTTCTTCGACTTCGAGTTCCTCGACCTCGACCTCGACCTCCTCCACCTCTTCCACCTCGATTTCTTCGACTACGTCTACCTCGACATCCAGTTCAAGTACTAGTTCCAGTTCGAGCGCGGTTGAAACCGGTGCTTTGGGTGGTGCCGCGGGCGGAGGTGCTGCGAGCAACGGGATCAACGCAGGACCTGCTATAGCATCTGCCACCGCTCAGCCAGGAAGCTCGGGCTCGGGCTCTGGGGGAAATGGCATCGACACTCCTCGGGTGGTCGGTGGCGTTGTCGGAGGGCTTGGTGGAGCATTCATACTGCTTCTGTTGGCGTTGCTTTTCCTCCATTGGAAGAAGAAGCGCATGCACCGCGGTGTCATTGGAAATGAGAGCAGGGGCACGGAGCCCGGTCAAGGGTCGATATCGCGGTCTGAGATGACTTCGCAGCGATCGAGCAACACTCCCCTGGCCGCGGCGGGTTTCTTTGGCCGATGGAGACAGTCATCACCTCCCGCGACGGTTGACGAGAGCGCGCCCAGCGAACGCGGCTTTCAGAAGATTTCCGGCCGCAAGATCCCGTCGGTACTTCGCACTGGAGGAGACGGTTATGGTGATGATGTGGAAGAAGAGCCCGTCGTTCCTGAGGTGGTCACTCCGACGTCTGCAGCGCCGCCTAGTCCGGCCATGCCTGGGCCCGCCTCCAGCCCCGCTCGAGAGAACGAGGAGGGCGAAAGTGTGGTCGTTATGCGGCCGTCGCCTGCAAGGACGCCGGTAGCCAGTTCGGCCAATGTGTCCGTCCCTCCAAGTCAATCGCAGACAGGCCTTGCACCACCGATGCGTCCTGACGCGTTGGGACGGAGTTTGTCAAAGCACGACGGGAGCAGGGGGAGTCGCTTCACCGAGAGCATCTAGCGAGGTCGTTGACTAGTCTTGTTTATATGTATTAGTGTTAGCACTTGCTTGTCCGGTCTTCCGCTTCTCGCTCTCCTGTCCTCGCATGCACAGCGGCTTGTCGGAAGTCATCATCTGTAATTTCTAATTGTGCGCTGGTATGGCTGTAGTGTCTCGCCGCGAGTTATATTCTTCTTCGGTTCTCGGTTGACGTGCGTCGACTTGAGAACAGTGGATACGTCTTGAGTTTTATTTGTTTTATTTCGTCTAATGTTCGGATACCCTTGTTGTTTCGATGTTATGATCCTGGTCTTTTTTTTTCACTTATTTTATTACAGTTCACTTCATTTTCGTGGCTGTATTAAGTTTGAGAATTCTGACTACAGTCGGAATATGTTCTTCTTCTGAACCTTCTCAGGCGGGATTTACTTACTTTCTTACCTTCTATACTTCTCTTCTTCCTCCATTTTTTTTCTTTTCTTTTTCTTTTTTTTTCCCTTCTATTCCATTCTCGGAATCAATCTAAGGATGAATGAACGAGTTGCTGTCGCTAGTCGCTAGGTAGCTAGCATGCATGCATGCATGCACAGGCCGAGGAGAGTTGAGTTGATCGAGCGGCTGTCCGGACAAGCGAGCGAGCGGCAGGGAAGAAGCATGTATGCTTCATTGCATTGCAAGCATAGTATTGCAGAGCATTGCATACTGCATACTGCATAGCTGTGTTGTATTGTATTGCATAGTATTGCATTGCATGCCTAGTCGCATTCGCATTGATTGATTGATTGATTGAGCTGTACCGTGTACACTTATTCCTTAGCTACTTAGCTACATAGCCACTTACTTATTTACTTAGTCGGGGAAGTTGTTTACTGGTTGTTTGTTGCGGGGAATAATGTTTTTTTTCTAAAAAAAATTCCTCGTACTGTAGCCATGCTTCCGTACCTATTGCACGTAAGTAACTAAGTAAGTACGTAAGTAGGTAGGTTGGTAGGTAGGTAGCTTTACTTACGAAGAGGATCAAATATAATATAGGGAAATCTAATATCAAAATCTATATAAAAAAAAGACTGGAATCCAATCAAATCAAACAAATATCGATTGTTTGTGCGAGGAGGAGATTATCTCCCTCCCTGCGGAGCACTGTCATGTCAGTGGCCCTTTTTTTAAAAAAAAAATTACGTTGGTTGTTTGAAGTAATAGTGTCCGATTGTGAGAGAGAGAGAGAGAGAAAGCTGCTCTTGTATAGGTAGGATTAAGATTAGGATATACGATCCAAACGAGAAATACGAGAAAAACGACCAATTAGGTTAGTTAGGCAGGCAGACACTCGACTCCACTGTCATCCAACTTAATTCCTGTATCGCCATCCATTGATCCAGTGGATCCGGCTTACGGAGTGTTTAATGTTTATTCTTCGTGTTTTTTTTTCTTTTGGCCGTTTCGGCGAATAACGGTACAGAGTACTCGGTACAGTCAGCATGTATTGTATTCTACAGTCCGTACCTTTTATTTATTTATTTTATTTATTTTTAAATGAAAGTAAAAAAAAAGTCAAAAATTTCAGACTGATTTTTCAACGGTACGCCTTAACGGAAATATTCCGTCCTATTTGACAGCTGCCTAGCCATTCGGCAACGTTAACCACACTCGGTAATTCGTTGGGTTCTGGAAAAGCCCATGACATGCATGCATGCATGCATGCGTATGCGTATAATTTAGGTATAATAATAGCATATCTTAGTCTGTTTCGGCTGGTTTTCTCTCCGGAGGGGGAGGTAATATTTAGTATCGTCATCGTCGTCGACGTCGTCCTTGTCGTTTGTCTATCTATCTTCTTGTTTATTGAAGAAGAGAAGCTTCGAGGTATTATTTTTCTCTTCATCTTATCTGTCTTGTCTGCGTTCTTATCATGCCTTCTTCGTCTTCATTTCTATTCTTACTCCTACTTCTTATTTAACCAACTAGTTAACTATTAACTATTTGCCATTGGCTGTACATACATCTCAACTTTCCATTTTATCAACTTTCTATTTTTTTAGCCATGCCCAGATTCACCTGCACAGAAGTAACCCCCCTCTGCCCCGTGTCTAAAACGACCCTGGGCTACTACCCCAACCTCGGCGCCAACGCCTTCTTCTGCGCCGGCTTCGCCGTCTGTGCTTTGTGGACTCTGACGGTCGGCGTGTGGAAACGTACCTGGGCGTTTGGCATCACTGTAGCCGCGGGGTTTGCGTTGGAAGCTATCGGTAGGACCATACACACACCCACACATAGACACATCTACATATATGATGATTATGATTGCTGATGACGATGATGCAGGCTACATCGGCCGCATAATGCTGCACCACAACCCGTGGAGCAGCAACGGCTTCAAGATCCAGATCGTGTGCATCATCCTCGCGCCCACCCTCATCTGCGCGGGCATCTACCTGACGCTGAAACACGTCGCGCGCACCGTGGGGCCAGACCTCTCGCGGCTGAAACCGCGCTTCTACACCTGGCTCTTCATCCCCTTTGACGTGTTTTGTCTGTGTCTGCAGGCCATCGGCGGCGGGGTGGACGCTGCGGCGTCGTCGTCAGGTAACATCAACGAAAACCAGCTCCGCGTAGGCAACGATATCATCATCGCGGGCATTGTGCTGCAGGTCGTCAACCTAGCTGTTTTCGGGTTGCTGTCGGTGGATTTTTTCTGGCGGGCAAAATCCCACTTTCGCAGGAATTCTTGCAGTTCGACTTCTCCCGGAGCGGAAATCTGGCACTCGAAGCGGTTCCGCATCTTCTGCACCGCTGTGACGGGTGCGTATACGGGGATTCTGATCAGGTGTATTTATCGGTGGGTACCATCATTATTACTATTGTTATCATCTCGACAAACTAACTGAATGATAATACCAGTATCGCAGAAATGTCCGGTGGATGGGGGTGCGTTTGAATTTAATATCTATAGATGTTCAATATGACTAACGAGTGTATGTATGTACCAGCAACCCCGTCATGCGCAACGAAGTCCTCTTCATCGTACTTGAAGGAGTGTAAGTATCTACCCAAACAAACCAACAGAGCCAACAAACTAAATTTAATCCCTCTAACTCTCATCATATATATAATGCAGAATGGTCCTCTACCCAGCCTTCATCCTCACCATCTTCGCTCCGGGATTCTTCTTCCCTGAGATGGCCAACAACAACAACACCAGCGCCAGCAACTACTCCTCCTCCAGCTCTAGTCGAATCACCGCAGGCCCAGACGCAGAGGAGAAGGAGGAGAAAGATGCCCCAGGTACGGTGACGGCCTGACAGTGTTTAATAAAAAAAAAAGTTTTATGCATATATACGCCTCTGTTATTCTTTTTAGATGATTGATAGATAGATAGATAAATATATCGATGGATATGATCTGGATGGATGGTTGGATGGATGGACATATCCATCCACTCCCCTCCCCCCACTGATTTGATATCCGATTTTTGGCTCCTGGTACAACAGCATAAATAATATTTGCAGCTAGGAGAACTAGGAGGAGGAGGATGCCCTGAATAATGCAATACGTAGACGGTGTGCTATTATTGTTCTATGCGTGGTCACTTCCTCCTGAATCTTCATTCAATAGATCACTTTCACATTTGCCCAGTTCTTCAGATTTTTCGTGTAGACTTGAAGCAAAAGATAAGGATTTCTGTTTCTGGCCCATCATTTGGAGTCACGAGTTTGGAGAGAGAGTTAGATAATGAAAAAATGGAGCCTTAACAGTATTCAAGGAGCTGTTTGTTATATGTAGGCAAGGATATGCTAATGCCAGACTGTTAATTTGTCTATTAATAATTCGCTGGAGTTAGACTAGGCAGTCCACTGTCAGTCAAGCTTGTGCTACAATCTGCCTGTACAGTACATACCACGCAAAGATCCTGGAAGTGTCAAAGGAACGGATTGTGGACACTGATAGTAGAACAGCTTCATCCAAGTTGCGCATGCATGTAAGCCCTCAGGGCCACCAGATGTTAGCTGCATAGATTTATTATTATTATTCAGTCATCACTTTTCGTCTCGAGTGTTTGTTTTGATTTAAAACAAAACAGAGGAAAAGCAATAGAATGCAGACTCGACAGTATGCTTGTTCCTAAAATGTTTCGATTCAACTGCAAAAAATACGATAGCACCAAACTCCAGTCCTTCCCTAATCCTCCTTGCAGCCAGTCCATCGCGTCGCAAAATCCATCAAGAAGAGATAATCTCTGCTTGCTGAGCTGAACTGAACTCAGGTCATGGAAAACCATACTATACATACACACATCCCTTGGTATCATGTAAACCAGAAATAGACAAGAAAAAAAGAGAGAGAAAGAGAGAGACAAAAAGTGCTTGCTCTAATCCATGCAATCCATGCAATATATGACCCATGTCTATAATCTTTTTTTTTCCTCCGCTAATGCAGCCGGAAGCTTGGTTATCGACGTGACCCTACCTTCACTATCCCATCAGGCCCTTTGTTGAATTTGACCCGGCAGTCCGGACAGTACCATTTGGCTGTCCGGCTTGGGACGTCAGACAGCCCCACGCACTCCAAATGGAACCACTCCTTGTCACACTGATGAACTGTTAGCATGTACACATAAGGATATATAGAGACAGACTTACATCAGCATTCTCGCAGCATATCATCGTTCCAAAACTAACGTCCCCGCACAAACAGTAGCGCGGCTCGTTCGGGTCAATCTCCTCCAGTACCCCGTCCTCGTCAATCCGATAATCCTCGCCCTTCGGCGCTGTGCTTTCCTTCCCCTGAGCCCGTTTCTTCGTCGGCTTCGCCTTGCGTCTTCCGTAGCTGACGGCTGCACCGCCGTCCTGGCTGGATGACACCGGCCCAGGAGCCGGACGTTTCCTTCGACGGCTTGGAGCCGTACTCGACGCGCGTGAGGGTTCCGGCGCAGGTGTCCTTGCAGCCGGCGTTGTGCTTTTCCGACGGAGATGCTCTCGAGACACACCGGTGCTGGTGGCCGCAGGCTCAACAGAGGCAGCCGCAGAACGACGCCTTGATGGAGGTCGAGTAGACGGAGGAGTAGGGGTCTTGGATGCCTTGCGAGCAGCCACTGCTGCCGCCGGTCCAGAAATAGGCGGGTTTGATTGTCGAGTCGACTTGCCTCCTGTTGGCGGACTCGATGGCACCGAGTCCTTAGTGTCAGCCGACGGAGCCGCAGTCGTAGCTGCTGCTACTGCTGCGGTGGTCGAACTCGCTGATGGTGCTTCTGAGCTCGGCGTCGCTTCCACCGCAGTCGTTTTATTCGTTTTGCGCCTCTTGGACGCAGGTTTGGAAGCGCCCGCAGCATTAGCGTCCGGCTGGTTTGAAGGTGGAGCTTCCGGGACATCTTCCTGCTTCCTCTTCTTCGGAGTTTTTGATTTCTCCTTTTCCTTGGTCGCTTCTTTGGCTGCTTCCTTGGTCGCAGTCGCAGCTCCATTTGGTTGTGACGAAGACGGAAGAAGGCCGGAAACGCCATTCATCGGGCTCGAAAACAAGCTCTTGAACGTAGAACCGATATCCCCAAGCCGCTTGGCCGCCATTTCCGCTTCCGCCGCTGCCAGTGCAGCCTGCTCTCGCGCCAGTGTCTCCCGCTTGAGCTTTTTCGCCTCGTTCAGCTTCATGCCGCGGTTGGTGGTCTTCGTCTCCTCCGCTGGTACCGCATCCGCGTTGGCGACATCGCTTTTCCGAGTCAGCTTCCCTGGTATGTAGTTATTCATGATGTCGTCACAGTCGATCAACTCCTCGCCAGTAGCCTCTGCCCGTGCTTTTGCAGCTCTGTATCCTTCCCATCCACGGCCGCTCCTTGCTAATTCGCGGTTGATCATGATCTCGCTGGGCTGCCAGACCGCATTCTTTTTCATCTTCTTGCGCAGCTTCGTCATCTCCCACTCAGTGAGGCGCAGCCACGGCAGGTCCTCGCTGCCGATCTTTGCATCTGGAGGGGGCGGCTTAAGCATGGCCAGGGCATTGCTGGTGGAAATCCCAGCCACCGAACTGCGTCCGTTTGTACCCCCACGACGAGTACGCTTCTGCTGTTTCTCTTTCTTGGGCGCTGACACCTCCGGACTTTTTTCCGCCTTGACAGCGTCACGCGACTGTTCCTTTTGCTCGCCATCGTTGTTGTCCGACTGCTCGGTACTGGCTATTGGGGAGTCCGGATCGAAGCCAGCGATCACAGACCGCCGACTCCTCGATTTCGGGACGGCACCTCCTGAAGGTCTCTGACCGTCAACGCGCAATGTGATGCGCGTTGGGCCTTCCTCGGTTTTTCTACCACTCCGCGAACGCTTATTTTCGGGGGACGCCGGCGCAGGGGCAGGTGTCGGCTCGCGAGATGGAGGTTTGGGTAGTGATTCGAGTTTCCTCTTGATGCAGCCCAGGCGGTCAAAGTGGCGGTCGACGACATCGTAGAGACGACAGGCCTCTGCATACGACGCCTCTCGCGCATTAAGGGCGCGATCTAGTTGTATGGAAATCTGCTCGCGCAGGTCCTGCGGGTTGGGTCGAGATTCGGGTGGGAGGTCAGGGAGTTGCCCATAGGTCTTGGTGAGCTCATGGACCTTCTGTGTCGCTTCGAGATAGGTTTCATCGAGGCCCCGGATGAGGGTCAGGGAACGGATCAGGTCCGCGGGCAGGTATTCGGTGTAGTCGATGAAGTCGGTGACGGTGGCTTGCGCGTCTGGATCGAAAGGGCCCTCCAGAATCACGCCGCCACTGTCGTCCGTATCATCCGCCATCGCGAATCGAAATCAAACTCCGCGGAGCGTCGCCAGAGCGTGAACTTTCAATGGGAGAATCCGCGAAAGCTGGGGTGGCGTGCTACACCATCCGCGCGACGTCGAGATGCCATGCAGTCAAGGGTGAACCATCGGACTCTCAAAACAGACCAGGTCACCGCCTGAGCATGGCACAATCACGAGCAGCGCGGCAGATCTTCGGCCTCCAAGGCGAAGGGAAGAGAGGGCTGACCAAGCTCGCCAGCTGCTTGACTTTGGAGCACCCGCACTCAGCCGCCCCGTGCGGACGCGGGTCGCGATCGGATCTGCCCGACGGATCAATGTTTCTCCGATACACGAACTACTCCGTACGCTCTACTAACAGCTCAGTTCACCATCTCATCTTCAGACAGGCTTCTGCCATTTCTCTGCATCGTTGTTGCTATATCCTTGAGATAGATGTTCTTGCCAATATGCAGTCCCCTTGCCAATTTATATATTCTAGTCATAGTGCGCAGGTTTTAATGTTATGCTTACAGCGTTATCAATTCCCACGTGATGGTTACCAAAAATGGCATTTACTATTAGAATAGAGTAAATTGCAAAAGGCGCAGTTAAAACGGCTGCTCACAGTAACTTCTCTCAAACAGTCACTTTTCTGTTCTTCGCTGGCCCGAATCGCAACGAGAATGCAACTGTTGTGTCTGCTCGCTTGCCGTTTGCTCCTGCCTCCAGATCATCTGCTCCTATTACTTTCTTCTCTTGCGGCGCTAATCCTGTACTCTAAGTCTGCCTGCCACTCAATTCCAGTCTCTCCTAGGTATTCTCGCCATGGACAAGGCCGAGCGGCTGAGATTGCTCTTTGAGGATGACAACTTGCTGCTGAGTTCAAACACTGGCCTACATCAAGAGCCAGCGACCACTCCGGAGCAATCGCCACCAGCAGAAGCAAATTCCCCAGGCCAGGCTCAAAATTCCTGTCCTTTTCATGCAGACTCCTGCTCTGTCTCAGTGAATGACAATTGCACGGAACCAGTCGAATCAAAACACCGCGTGCCTGAAAACAACTCGAACACGCGCGAATCCCCGGTTGTTGAAACAGAAATTGAGACTTCTGCAGCTTCTCTCGCCCAATACTTCTGCCCCCTGCTGGCCATCTCTCGACTGCCTTACAAATACATACAGGACGAACAGTCTGATTCCATTGCGAAGCGTTTCTTTGACCAGGGAAAGTTCTGGCAGAGACATTGGGATTTGTAGGCACTTTCCGTCATAATCACTCTCGCCCCACTAGTCGCTTCAATCCTGCCATCTGTATTCACTGTCAGCTAATTACCACTCTCAGATACTACATAATTCCCCCAGAAGACATATCTCCTCGCCCTCTTCTCCTGGTGCCTGCAGTACAAGTCCAGCGGCTTATGAACGAGATTAATGACGCGTTTCACACTGAGTTGACTCTTCCAATGGACCCCAACCTGGGATTGTTTCTTCCGTTTCAGGAGGACGGCACCCCTCAACCCCAGTTTCTCGGACAGTGTGCCAGTAAGGAGACGAAGGAACAGTTGGAAGCGAGCATTCCCAGACCTTTGAGCGAGCATGGTGATGAGAACGCTCCGGTTGCTGATAGCTCAGAGGCGGGTGGCTCACTTGCTGCATTTCGAGAGAAGATTCAGGCAGGCGTGAACGCCGCCAGGAACAAATCAAAGGAACAGGGACGGAAGAAGAGAATCCAGAGATATCTCGAATGGACACGTTCGCTGAAGAGAACCCAATGTTATCTTGGCCTGCGTCCTCGACGCCCGCAGGGTCTTCAACGTCCCGTGCTCAGTGAGAACGCAGCCCAAGAAGAAATACAGAGAGCAGAACGTGAATATGGACTGGCCTGCGGTGCCATCCTCCTCCCCCTTCAACTAAACGAACCTGCTCCTTTCCCATTCGCAAGTGAGCCAATATTCATCTGCGTCGATATCGAATCGAACGAGCGTTGCCACGAACAGATAACCGAGATCGGTATCTCCACTCTCGACACTCTCGATCTTGTCGGCGTTGCACCCGGAGAAGGAGGGAAAAATTGGATAGATTGGATTCGATCCCGTCATTTTCGAATCAAGGAGAGGGCGCATATCGTCAACAAGGAGTACGTCTCTGGGTGCCCGAATAGCTTCGAGTTCGGCCAAAGCGAGTTTATTTCGCTCAAGAGTGCGGCAAAAACGGTGGATCAATGCTTTCAGCCACCTTACTCAGCCCATGTCCCGCCTCAGATCAAAACAAGGAAACAAAATGGGCAGGAAGCAAGTGTCACGCTTGACAACATAATTGGTGAACACAAGTTGCGTCCCCGAAACATCGTCCTTGTTGGGCATGACATTGATAACGACATCGCGTACCTTCGCAATTTGGGCTGTACTCTGTTTACCAAGGCAGCAACTCGCCCACAGAAAAGCCCGGCTGCAAATACCGGAGGCGGGTTTCATGCGAGTCAGCCGACTCTTTTAGAAGCACTGGATACTGTGACTCTCTTCCAAGTGCTGAAGCGTGATACATGCCCTCGCTCCCTAGGAGTGGTTCTGGCTGATCTTGGGCTTGTTGGTTGGAACCTTCATAATGCCGGAAACGATGCTCGCTACACGCTCGAGGCAATGATACGGATCGGGCTGACGTCGCGTCTTGTTCTGGACGGCGATAAACAACATTCAGTGACCGGATCAAGCAACTGGGCATTGGGATCGCAAGCGTTCAAGGGCGGGAAGAGCAATTTCGACATTCATGTCGACGCTGTTGCAACGGCGTACGACAGCGCCTGGAAGGCTGAAGTCGAGCGACGGGTTGCTCAGTCCGTTGCAGAAAGCGAGATGCGGATTCGCGAAGAGTGCAAGATTTGGGAGATCGCAACAGGTTGGGAGGGAGATGAGGCCAACGACGATGATGTGGACGGGGTGACGCAAGAGGAATTACACTCCGCACGAAAGGCAGGAAGCAAGGGTAAATGAGACCGCCTAGAGGCAAGGCATGGAGGCCTGAGAGTGTTCTGGCAAGATTCGATGAGATGTCTACGTAAGGACGAGTTGTCAGCTGTGCGGCATGAAGTGTGCCAATCGAAATTGATGATTGGAGATCGCCAGCAAGGAGAGTTCAGCATATCAAGCTGCAATAGCAATCAAGTGGTGGTATTATTACATATTTCTCTTCTTTCCTATCTGTCACTTCAAGTTTTTTACTGTTTTCTCCTCTCTCCACACACACAAAATAATTATGTCAGAATAACTAGCTTGAGGATTGTGAACGAAATGCCAATTAGTTGAGCTAAATCTACCACGACAGGACTTTCTTGGTAACTTAGCGGCAGATACAACTGACGTCACGCCTTGCTAATGGCATCAAACACGAAACCACAAATTATTATTGCTGGATTTCTGTCAACTTTGAATCCTCGTATTTCTGTTGGGAACGGTCGCCAGACTTCGTATTTTTACAGTTCTTGAAGGTGCCAAGACCCCGCTCTCCAGCTTCTGTATCCACTCGTTCTGTACTGTAGAGGCAACAGGTCTGCAAAACTTAAACGGAAAACACAACCCCTCCGCAGGGAAAAAGAGACATTTACAATAATCGAGACACTGGGGCAAATGCTACATGACTAAGACTGGAAGAGAATTGAACGACAGACAATCGTCCTGCAATTCGTGATCCACACGTGCTATTATTTTAAATATTGCTTCGCTTCGCTCCGCAAATAATCATGTCATCAGAGCCCCTCACCAACCTACTTACTTCGACCTGCAAGCCTGCCTTCAAACGGGCCACCAAGCACCCATTCCTCAAGGCTGCAGGCGAGGGGCAGGTCTCCAAGCAGATGCTGTCGCAATGGCTCTCGCAAGACCGGCTGTATGCGCAGGCATACATCCGCTTCATCGGCCTGCTGCTCAGCAAGGTCGTGCTGCCGCCGCGCAACCCGGACAGCGCGAAGACGCGGGCGCCGACGACGGAGCAGCGCGTGTTTGACATCCTGGTCGAGGCGCTGGTCAACATCCAGCGGGAGCTGCGGTTCTTTGAGGACACGGCGCTCGAGTACGGGCTGGACCTGACGGCGATGGAGGCGAGCGAGGAGAAGGAGAAAGAAAAAGGCGCGGGAAACGTCTTTGGACCGCAGCCTATCACACGCGCCTATATCGATCTGTTCATGTCGGCGGGCAGCCCTGGCACGTCGCTGCTGGAGGGGATGACGGTGCTCTTCGCGACCGAGTACTGCTACCTGCACGCGTGGAGGTACGCGGCGTCGGTGATGGAGTCGACCTCGCCCCGGCCGGCGGAGCCATCGCCCGCGTCCTTCTCCGTGGGCTACGACGGCGACCCGGACGGGGGCGCGCTGCGACGCAAGTTCATCCCCAACTGGGCCAACCCGGAGTTCGAGAAGTTTGTCAACGCCATCCGGGATGTGACGGATGAGCTGGCGGGCAGGGTGAAGGGGGCGGAGGAGGTGGAGAGGGAAAAGGGAAAGTGTCTTGGATGGTGGAAGCAGGTGCTGTGGCTGGAAGAGAGGTTTTGGCCGAAGATGGAATGATCTAGACAGCTAGTTGTCTTTGAAAAGAATGATACTGTGCATGTTCATTCTTCTGAATGTATTCAGTGAATTACCAACGTACTAAATCAAGAGGCTATAGAAACTAATGCACGTTTCCATTCATGGAAAACGGGAAGGGAGCAGCAACAGCACAGCCCTGCCGATTATCGAACTATAAACTGTAGTACATAAGATACTACCATCATACCAACTTTATTTCCTATGTCCTTCCCAGCTAGGATAGCGTATGCGCAGCCATCCATTACGTAGTACATAGCGAGAGTGGAGAGGATATAGTTACTATCATCGCGTCATCATCATTACTTTTACTGTCATAGCCTGACTTTACGTGAGGCTCGGACTACTCGGGCTTTGCTTTCTTTTTTTTTCTCTTCTTTGCTCTGCGTCCAGGATCTATCATCTATCTATCAGATCTGGACTTTGGTGAGAAAATCAATCAACCCGTGAGTAGTGAGGGAATTAACTCACCAAGAAAAAAACAAACACATCGAATTGTCGATTATGAATGATCATTGAGGCTATGAATTGAATGGATCTGGACCTCAGACCTCTCGTCTCCTACCTAGGTAGTAATGAAGGTTGGAGCATGTGTATTGCTTCCTCATCCGCCAAGACGGACGAAGTACGAACTGAACGTTTTCGAGGAAGCTATCGTTCAGAATAATGACCCGTTTTTTAATCCCGATACTGGCAATAGGTAGATACACAATTCGTGCATCTTGGTATCGATTAGGAGATGTTATCGGGATTCTAGACAGCAGTGATAATGTGGAGGAGAGAGAGAGGAAACTTTCATGCCCAAGAAAAAAATTAATTATTTTTCTTTTTGAGCGGTTTATTGCACGAATCATAATCATCGCCGATACATACGCCCTTGCTTGCACGATGGTAGATTAGATGCCTAGCTAGGTAATGTCCATCTTGTCTACTCCTTACTGGCTCTGGGCATGGAGGCGATAATATCCCAAAGCGGTATAACAGATACCAAAACGGGATATGGGGACGAATCAATGGCAACGGCCAAGCGAGGCTGTGCTTCTAGCTCCAAGCTGGCAGCTACCCGATGGACCGTTCAGACTCTTTTCTTGACATAATTTTATTAGTATTCTCTTGTCTCTTACCATCGTGACATGGTTAGTCGTGGATACTAGGTTAAATATTTCGGTGGAGACTAGACACTAGAGTTGGTGATGCATTACCACGCCAAGCACGCACTCACTCACTTCAACATGAGATACTTTTGAGTCTTTGACTTCGTCTTCCCCTCCGCCCCCCACAGCAGGGTGGAGGTTAACTTCCCTTAGGTACCCAACATAGGATCCCAGATCCTGGCAATTGTAACCAACTTCTGCTGAACACATAGACTCCGAGAGGCGCAGCAGGAAGGTTGCAAACACAGTCAGTGGCACACTAATTAATTAATTATTAATTAATAATTGCCTCTGAAGGGTTCAGGCGGCCGAGATAAGGCGGCCATATCTATGAGTTGAGGCAAACATGGCGATTATCTAGAAGCCTACCCAGAAATTCATCGATCACCGCCACACCATGAGGCGGTGCAGTATGCTCTTTCTTACTAATTATGGAATGGTAGCCAGTCATGTGTAGCCGTGTTGGGCAGGCAGTGTGGCTGGTGTCCTGCCTAAAGTTATCAGATGACAGATTCGTGCGTGCTTCTGTCAATCTAGAAACTTTCGGCTGGGATCTGCAGCGCCGTGTGCTGGAAGACAGCGATAGTCCGAAAGGCTCCCTCAAGGCTAACCCTGTCCATAATCTGATTATCGCTGGCAATCTCCGCCCGCAAACTTTATCTCCTAGGTTGGGTCCAGCTTGGTTATGTTTACTCTGTACTGCCACAGGAGACGGAGCGAGTTCAGCTACTATTGCAGCACTAGCGTTTGAGCTCTGCCTGTTACTTACTGTGCATGTCTAAGCCATACCGGAACTTCGGGCTGACGAATCCTTGCCTGTCAACCTGCCGCAGACGCATGCGTCACCATGAGAGGCGCTTATCGACTATTGCGCCGCGAGTGACGATTGACACGCAGATTGGCCGCGCTTGAGAGGCGCACTCTGAAGATAGCCCTGGTGCATTGAAATCGCCTGGCAAGACTCATCAGTTGATTGGAAGATGATATTTGCTCAAGACAAGATGGTGTGGGACAACTGCACTGGTCAGGCGTCAGGATTCTCGCGGAGCATGTAGCATGTACTCTGTACTGTAGTACGACAAGGCGCGGCAACAGCCGAGGGATCGTGTTCGTCTATGGTGGTATTTTGGCCCCACCACCTACCTAGGTAACTCGCACTGTCTCGAAGTTGGTTTGACAAGCCCAGAACTTGGCGAGTTGGCGGTTAGGTGCTTGGAGTGGGCGGTGTTGGCGGCGGCAAACAAAACGTCGACTTCGCTGGGCGGCGCCAAAAGACTAAAAGACGGGCCACTCACGCGCTGCAACGACGCTCGCCGCTGTCAACATGCCTCGTTCTCGTAAGATGGATTCCTCCAACAGGTATTGGCCTGTCGCGCTTAGAGATCAGAGAACGGTGATTCGCAACAGTAACTGTGATGCGAAAAAGGGGATTTGTAATTCGCCCATTGGCCAGCAAACGTCGGCCGCAGCAGCCGGTGGTTTTCTCGCGCGCTGCTCGTAGTCAGGATGAAAGGAGATTGCCTTCCATCTTTTATATGCCCTTGGCACGCCCCACGCAGCTCTTGTTGCTCCCTTGGATCTGCAACCACCGTTACCAAGTTCAAACGAGGCTGTGTTTCTGCATTTTTACTTTAAAACTTACTTTAAAAGTACTCCCCTTCAAACACCAGGCACATGTCTGTATAGATATGGGTGCGCGTCTGCAGCAACAATCCTTTGTTTTTATCGCCTTTCTAGCAGACACCAACGCTCGCTGCAGTCATGGCGACCAGAAATAATGAGAGCAACGGGTTCTTAGGACCTCCTGTGATCTCTCTGAATACAACAGTACGGCACAGCGAGGTGGTTTCTGACACTCGAACCATGCTGACCGCAGAGCAGCAACTGAGTCCATCCTCCAGATCATCACCGTCTTCACCAGATGAAATATCGCCAGACCGGCCATCCAGTCATGATGGCAGTCTATTGACAGTATACAGACCGTCTTCCCCGACGACACCCTCGTTGGACGGGGAGACACTGCGCTCCAGATCAGGATCGTTCACGTCGTCAGCACCCACAGTCGTCCGGTCCAGAGCGGGCTCAAATGCCAACTCGGAATCCTTTCAGGCGGCTTACGATGACGTGCCTCTTTCAGAGGCCCTGAAGCCCGATCCACGCTATGAACGGGACTTTCACGTCGAGGATAACAGATTCGCCTTCTCACCGGGTCAGCTCAACAAGATGCTGAACCCCAAGTCTCTTGCTGCTTTTCGCGCATTGGGAGGTTTGGATGGTCTGGCATACGGGTTGAGGACCCATTTGACAGCGGGTCTCTCGGTCGATGAAGGCCGTTTAGAAGGTCATGTTACTTTTGAGGACGCAACTCAGTCTTGGAATCTGAAGCAACATAATAAAAACATGGCACTGGAAGGTACTACTGATCCATCGTCAGACCTTCCTGTTCGGGAATCTCAATTTGCGGATCGGTTACGAGTATTTGGCCGCAACAAGTTGCCGGATCGAAAGACAACTGGCTTCCTTAAGCTCTTATGGAACGCTTACAACGACAAGATTATTATTCTGTTGACCATTGCAGCCGTGATATCTTTGTCTCTGGGCCTGTACGAAGCGTTCAGCGGCGGGTCGAAGGTGGATTGGATTGAAGGTGTTGCGATATGTGTGGCTATCTTGATCGTGACGATTGTCACTGCGGCGAATGACTGGCAGAAGGAGAGGCAATTTGTCCAGTTGAACAAGCGAGTGAGTTATTCTATTTATTATTTTCTTGGCTGAAATTCCCAGAAGTTGACTTCCTCTCAGAAAGATGACCGCCAAGTCAAAGTCGTTCGCTCGGGAAAGTCGGTCGTGGTGTCTGTCTTTGATGTCATGGTCGGCGACGTGCTGCACATTGAGCCCGGCGATTCACCACCAGCAGACGGAGTGCTCATTTCCGGCCATGGGATCAAGTGCGACGAATCTTCCGCGACAGGAGAATCAGACCAGATGAAGAAGCTCACGGGACATGAGGTTTGGCAGCGGATCATGGATGGAACAGCCACCAAGAAGTTGGATCCCTTCATCATATCTGGCAGCAAGGTCCTGGAAGGCGTGGGGACGTACCTGGTGACCAGTGTTGGCCCATACTCCACGCATGGGAGAATTATGTCCTCTTTGCAAACGGAGAGCGAGCCAACGCCGCTCCAAGTGAAGCTCGGAAAGCTGGCAGACTGGATTGGATGGCTGGGTACAACGTAGGTGGCCATAACACATGCACATACACAGTTCTGCTAATTGGGACAACAGTGTCGCTGTCATTCTGTTCTTCGTGCTTCTCGTTGGATTTCTCGCGGGATTACCGGACAACCCTGCGTCTCCCGCTATCAAGGGTCAAGAATTCATGGACATTCTCATTGTTGCGGTCACCGTTATCGTGGTTGCCATTCCCGGTACGTATTAGCTTCTCAATTTCATTTTATGTTATGTTAGCTAACAAGCCTTTAGAGGGCCTTCCTTTGGCTGTTACGCTCGCTCTTGCATTTGCCACTACACGTATGGTCAAAGAAAACAATCTCGTCCGAGTCCTGCGAGCTTGTGAGACTATGGGAAATGCTACTGTCATCTGCTCTGACAAGACGGGTACTCTCACCCAGAACAAGATGACGGTAGTTGCTGGTACCTGGGGCTCCGATGAAAGCTTCAACCAGCTGCCCCTGAACGGGGACAGCCCAGCGCCCACAACGACTGTGTCCGAGGTCTTCAAGCGATTTTCAAGTGTCATCAAGGATCTTATTATCAAGAGCATCTCCCTAAATTCTACAGCATTCGAAGATGATAAAGATGGGGGCAAAGAATTTGTCGGCAGCAAGACGGAAGTGGCCCTGCTGCAGCTCGCCAAGGACCATCTGGGTTTGAACCTTCGCGAGGAGCGGTCGAATTCGGAGACGGTGCAGCTGTTTCCCTTTGATTCGGCTCGGAAGTGCATGGGCGTTGTCTATCGGGAACCGTCTGTTGGCTATCGGCTCCTCGTAAAGGGAGCAGCCGAGCTCATGCTTGGATCTGCTACATCTGTGATCACGACGTCAGCTGGCGAGGAAATCAGGAGCGTGCCACTGTCCAAGGACACTCGCGAAGCAATTTCGGAAATCATCAATTCGTATGCCCAGAAGTCCCTCCGCACCATTGGGATGGTGTACAGAGACTTTCCCAGCTGGCCTCCGAAAGGGGCGAAGACCTTTGAAGATGACTCCTCTGCAGCCGCTCTTGAAAGCGTGTTCCAGGATATGACGTGGATTGGGGTTGTTGGCATCCAGGATCCGCTGAGACCGGAAGTGCCCGCTGCAATCAAAAAGTGCAACAGTGCAGGCGTTCAAGTGAAGATGGTCACAGGTTGGTGTTCTCCTGCCCGCTTCGCTTGTTCAATTACTAAACTTTGCTACAGGTGACAATGTAACGACTGCTACTGCGATTGCGGAGTCTTGCGGCATCAAAACCGATGGCATCGTGATGGAGGGCCCCAAGTTCCGTCAATTGTCGGACGAAGAGCTCGATCGAATCGTTCCGCGTCTTCAGGTCCTGGCACGTTCCTCTCCAGATGACAAGCGACTTCTTGTGGAGCGTCTCAAACGTCTGGGAGAGACCGTTGCGGTTACAGGAGACGGGACAAACGACGGCCCAGCTCTTAAAACTGCCGACGTCGGTTTCTCAATGGGGATCGCTGGGACAGAAGTGGCTAAGGAGGCCAGCTCGATTATTCTCCTGGACGACAACTTCAAGTCCATTGTTACTGCAATTGCCTGGGGTAGAGCCGTCAATGACGCCGTTTCCAAGTTTTTGCAGGTAAGCTCGTTGTTCCATTGTCTCTCCAAGGCCTGTCTGACCGGAGCAGTTTCAAATCACTGTCAACATCACTGCCGTCTGCCTGACTTTCGTGTCGGCAATCTACAGCGATTCCAATGAAAGTGTTCTTAATGCGGTGCAGCTGTTGTGGGTCAATCTGATCATGGATACGTTTGCTGCTTTGGCACTGTAAGATGACCTCCTATCATATCAAAAACAGTTTTCTCCTGACTGGGTTTATTACAGAGCGACCGACGGACCAACCGAAAAGAGTCTCAACAGAAAGCCAATCCCAAAGAGTGCACCGTTGTTCACGATGACCATGTGGAAAATGATTATCGGCCAGGCGATCTATCAACTGGCTGTGACGCTCACCCTCTATTTCGCCGGAGACCAGATCCTTGGAAATGTCCTTTACGGCTCTCAGGGACAAAAAGACCTCCAGCTCGACACCATCATCTTCAATACGTTTGTCTGGATGCAGATTTTCAACGAGTTCAACAACCGCAGACTGGACAACCACTTCAACATCTTCGAAGGCATGTTCAAGAACTATTGGTTTTTGGGAATCAACTGCCTCATGGTCGGCGGCCAGATCCTGATCGTCTTCATCGGGGGCATGGCCCTTGGCGTGACGCCCCTGGACGGCGTTCAATGGGCCATCTGCATTGGATGTGCGATCTGCTGTCTTCCCTGGGCAGTTCTCTTGCGACTCCTTCCAGACCGGTATTTCGCCGTCGTTTTCACTTTTGTTGTTGACAGTGTGGCTTTTGGACTGCGGCCTATCTCCAAATTCTCGCGACACGTTGGCAGTGCCATCGGCAGGGCAGTTCAGCCGCTGAAGCGATTCGCTATGCGCATTTTCCGCAGGGGGCAGGACATGAACGCAACTCCTCAAGACGAGGAAGCTGGGCATTATTTGGCTGAGATGAACCCTAAGCCTGCCGAATCGAAAATTGTGGCTCCATCGATCGCTAACCCGCCTCCTATTACGATCACCACGACGGACTAGATAGGCTTTCATACGATTCTTTAGATTTCTCTACGCGGAGATAACCTTCCTGTCTACCGCAAACGTCTTACACCGGTCATCAAGAGGGAAGCTTTCGGCTTTTCTTTTCGTCGTTCTTCGGAACCTGTATTATTATGCCTTTTTCACCTTGGATCATCAGGCTTCTCGGACTGTCCGGCTCTTCTCATTTGAAGGAATCATTCTAGGGGGCATTATGACATTTTTTTTTGTTTCTTTAAACGAGGAGTTCATGGTTCTACACATCATCCTGGTATCAGCGTTTGGTTGCATAGATTCCGGTTACTGACTGAGATGCATGGCACGGGGCACAAACATGTATGTTGGGCTGGTGGTTGTCTGATCATGAAATAGATATCTGTTCTGTTTTTGCTATCTTTTAGGCGTTTTGAGGCGTTGTGGGAAGATACCTCCAGATAGCTACATCCATGTATGAGTACATTTGAACTATAGAAAAGTGCTTAAGAGTTGCTAATAATACAGACTATTCGAACTAACCTTATTATTACGGAGTACATTATAGTAAAATAATCTAATTCGTCAATCTATCAATGAATGCAGTCGTAAACGCAGACCCTTGAATGTCTGCCTCAGGCGGCAAGGCGGCAACAGACACCGCCTGCCAACGCGGCTTCTCCACCGCCGCTGCCCGCAACAACCAACTCCGCCGCACTCTGCTTGCTCAGCCCGACTCGACTCGGTCCATTATCTGCCTGCCTAGCTGCAGCTTCATCTTCTAGTCGGGGCGGAGTTGCTTGTGAGAGAGAAAGTCCTCCGTGTCATTGCGATTCGGCAACGAGCTCTTTACTTCCTGCCTTGCAGGATCCTATTCCTCCACCCCCCACTTCATTCTATCTATCCGCCCACGTCACGCACCTATACTATACGTACTCGAATCCCCGCGATAGAATAGTTGACGGCTGCTCCATACGACCGACTATCTGCGCCATTGCCAGGCAGACGAATTCTTTCTTTCGATCTACCGGCTGAGTCGTTCATCTGTTTAGTCTAGTGTTCTACACAGCCCCGAAGTGAGCTTCGAGACATCACCTGTCGACCAAGACAAACACCCACCACACCAACTCAGAGAGAGAAAACATGGCGCAAGTAAACTACCGCACGATCAACGTCGACGTCCTCGATCCGGAATCCTCGGTAAACTTCCCCCTCGAGACCCTCCTGCCAGGCAATCTCCCTCCGCCGACAAACGCCAACAACGCTGCGGCCGTCGCGTCTCAGGTGCGCCAGCTGCTCCGGGGCGGTGACCCGGAGGGAGCGCTACGACTCGTCCTGGACACGGCGCCGCTGGGCGGGGACGCGCAGGCCAAAGAGATCCATCTGGGGACGGTCATCGAGGTCCTGCAGGGGATCCGACAGGGAGAGATGATGCGGGTGTTGGAGGGGGTGTGTACGGGCGAGGGAGGGTCCGATAGGGCAGACTGTCTGATGAAGTATATGTAGGAGACGCCCCCATTGTCAACATGTCTATTTGATTATTTGTCGACTGACATGATCCTCTGTTCAGCTACAAAGGCATGGCCTCCCTATCCTCGGGCACCGGCGCCCAGTCTCCATCGTCCCGCAAGGCCGTCTCCCCCCAGCCCACCGGCACCACCGGCTTCTCTCAGATCCAGCCGCGAAACTTTGGCGAGGGCGGCGCCGGCCAGCAGATGAGCGTGCTGCTCAGCTGGCATGAGAAGCTCGTCGAGCTGACGGGGTATGGGTCGATTGTGCGAGTCATGACGGACCGGAGGACGGTGTGAAAACGATTTGCTTTTCTTTCTTTCTTTCGATAAATAATGAAGATTTGTTTTTAGAGGGGTGTTTATGTTTAAACAGACACTTCAGCATGTTACTATGTTTATAAACTTTTCGTACGTACGCTGGTAGAAACATACTTGCAGGCTGGTCTGGACATGTATGTACACAGCGACGGAGAAAAAAAGGTCGAGATTATTATTTATCTAAGTCCTGATAGATATCGTCATGGACATGCGAATGCGAATGCGAATGTGAATGAAATGAACTAGAGCCCGACCTCAACCCATGTCTTATCTATCTACCGTACATATATATCATACACTGCTACACTGTTATTAAAAAAGAAGTAAACAAATGAGGGAAAAAGAAAAGTTCAGGCAGAAGTCATCACGACCCATCAAAACTCCCTCCACCGAGGATATCCTTCAGATTAACCTGGCCACTTCCCCTCTCCAAGGGCTGCGCCTGTCCCTCTCCCTCTTTCCATCCGATCATGTAGATGATTCTGAACGTGGCGGGGATACCGCCCCGGCTGTTAGCCGCTGCCTCGCCTTCCTCCTTGTGGAGCTCGCGATAGATGGCCTCGTTGGCCAGCAGCACGTCGCGCGAAATGGGGCCTAGCTCGCGCTGCAGGATGGCGTTGCTCTCGCCCATGGCCTGCAGGTCCTGCATCAGGGCGAACGTGTCGGGGTACTCGACGACGATGTCCTCGACGTCGACGGTCAGCATCTTGAACCC